AAGCAGTGAATAGAAGAATAAAGACTAGGCCTGTGATGTCATTGATATGGAGAGCTCCCAGATGAGGAAATTTCGTCTACTGGTGCAGGTCAACCCTACTTGGTCACTGATTGGTCAGAACAAATGTAAATAACAACTGTTTCTGTTTTGGCCAGGAACCCTGAGGGTGTTCCCTCCCAGATCTATTTTTTTTTAAGATGCCATTCTTTACCTCATTTTTATCAAGCCTTAATCACTGAATGGGTGCTGCCTCAGTAAATATGAGACCTGTTAAAAACGTTAGCTTGAAAAGGACAAGGTCCTCCACTGCATCCTGGGCCATCTCTAGTTGTCCTGATCCACATCTGACCCAAATGGCTCCAGAGGAAAAAGTGAGGCTGGAGTCTTTGCATAGCCTTCCCTCACTTAAATCCAATTCACTTGCATGTTGTGGCATCACCTGCCTGTTATAATTGTCCTCTTCAAGAATGAAATTAAATGGAATTTAATAAATCCCTGCTGTGTGCAAGGCACCATTCTAAGTGCTATGAGGATACAAAGTTATATAAGACAGTCTTTACCTTTAAGGAATTTACAGTCTTTCAGTTGTCATTCAGTCATTTCAGTTGTGTCCAACTCTTCACGACTCCATTGGGATTTTCTTGGCAAAGATACTGGAATGGTTTGCCATTTCTTTCTCCAGCTCATTTTACAGAGGGGAAAACTGGGGCACTTAGAGTGAAGGGATTTGCCCAGAGTAACACACCTAGTAAGTGTCCGAAGCTGAATTTGAACTCAACAAGATGAGTCTTCCTGACTCTAGGTCTAGCCCTCTATCCATTGTACCACCTAGCTGTCCCACAGTCTTCTGGTAGTAGATGTTAAATAGATACAAAAATATATATAATGCAATGTAGTATTTGGTAAATGCTATATGAGCGATACAAACTTAGCATTACATAAATACAGAGGAAGGAAGGGTCATTTTCAATTTGAATGATCAAAGAATATCTGTTCCCACCAGGACTCTTTCAGATTCCTCTGACACCATAAGAAGAGAAGAGGCAGGGAGCAGGAAGTGTTTTAAAGTCTTAGGTGGGGAAGGGAGCAGTTCGGGGGGAGAGGGGAGAATAGAAGACTTCAATATCAAGGCAGCAACTGTAAAGACAGAGAAGTTTGAGAACTTGTTGCCCTAGCTACAGTGAGAAACAGTTAATTCACAGGAGAAATCAAATTGAGAGTGTTGTTTGAGAGAAGGAACCTGGGAGCTGGGGAGGAAGATTACAGAAAAGGATGAGTGATTACACACGAAAGATCTGGAGGGCAACTTGACAATTGAGCTTGAAACTTCCCATTTTTTGCTAATAAGATGTGAGAGTCAGAGCCCTATTTTTGGAGAACAGTTATTGAACAGAAAATAGACTACACAGTTAAGTTGTAGCTCAAAGGAGGCAGTGTACAGGAGCCCATTGAATTTATTTCTTTGCTTGATTATTTGATTACTTTTAATTGGGGTCACTTTTCAAAAAAATAGGCAATATCATGTAGTGGAAAGGTCACTTACTGTACTTGGAGTCAAGAAAAGCTAGATTGAAGTCCTATCTCTGAGACTTAGTAGCTATATAACTGTAGGTAAAGCAGCTAAATTCTGAGGCTCAGTTTTCTCGTGTATCAAATGGAGATAACAATGCTTATAATAGCTATCTCACAGGGTTATTGTGAGGATCCAAGAAATAATGCAAGTAAATTCCTTCATAAATCTGAGTCATTTATTATAAAACTAGTAAAACCACTAATTACAATGACAGTTAAGTCTGAATCAGTAGAAACATATTTATAGAAAAATAGTTTTGTTCATTTCAAATACATCAAGTGCTCTTCTCCTAATAAAGCATTGCCTGGTTGAGGTCCTAAAACATAGATAGATAGATAGATAGATAGATAGATAGATAGATAGATAGATAGATAGATAGATATGTATATATAATATATAACATACATTAGAATATTTTGTAGTTAGCACATCATTTGTTTAAATGAAAATAGATACTATCAAAATGTGACCTCTCAAATATGTAACGTTACCCTTCTAATCTCAGTATTAATTGCTCAGAAAACTCTTTGTGCTGATAGTACAAAATAAATTAGTTAGTCCATATCTTAATTATTACCAATTTCAAATCAACATGATCCAAATAGTTGATATTTTATTATCCCCATAGTACAGAGGTCCATTTCTCATTTGAAGTAGTGCTGGCAGGAGAAACAGCTACAGTCCTCATGCTGGTGAAGACAAGAGTGCTTTCTTTTAGGACTATTTACTTTTCAGTGGAAGCTCTGCAACCTGTGACCTCTGGCCTCAGCATCTCATTCTTCCCATACCTGATTGATGCCAACCCCCAGATGCAAGAATGAAGATTGGACAGAAATTCTTCCTGCGCAAGAAACTGCTGTGCCCATGTTAAACTTTCCCGCCATATCCAGACACACAGATCATAGTTCTCCTTCAAGGGGGCACATCTAAGAAAGTTAAAGGTAGAGAGACTTTGGTGCTGTAGTCCAAGTACCTTATTGCATATGATCTGTGGCCTGGCCCCACCCCCATCCCCACTTCTTTCCACAGTGGGCTCTCAGGTGTGGTTTCACATGGACTGAGTTCATCCTTTGGTGTGAGGAGGAACAGCAGGAAGAGTAAGCAGGCTGCTCTCTACCCTCCTAGTGCATTGCTCCTACCCTAGAGTAATTCTGGAATAATATGTATAATAAAACTTACATACATATAGCTCAGGTCTAGGGGTCTCCCCCTAGAGCTAGAAGGTCTCCTTCCTTTTCTTCTAGAAAAGGTACTCAGTATACAATATGGATATTAGGTATAAGATCTGATTCCATAAAAAATGCTTAAAATACACAAGGCTAACAAATACAGAAACATAAAGCAATCACCCATGATACACATTATTATCTCCAAAGTAAAGATACCTTTGTGGCACCACTGAAACAGATATTTATTTCTCGTCCACACTTGTACTGTGTGAGCCACTCACAAGGTCTAGATCTCCAGGCCAATTAGGTCATGGCTTGGGTTTTCTTAGTTCTTTCTGTTACACCATCCTTGTGGCAAGGGGGATTCTTCTCTGTTGGGGGCAACACCTCCCACTGAGTATCCTGTAGCTGACTCAGAAACTCTAAGACTTACAAGGGCTCCAGAGATGGATACTTTCATTTCTGAGGATTGTTGATCATTTGACTGTCCTCAGGAAAGAAAAGCAAGAGCAGAAGATGGTGACTATTCAGGCTCACGTAAGCAAGCATGTGTTCTTACTGTCATGCTCTTGTATCCATCATTGATGCTGGCAGGTGGAGTGGGATTCTCTCATTTCCCCTTCCCCTTATTAGAAGTTCAAGGGAGAGAAATCTCTGGAATAGTCCCCAAAGAGAACAAGCTTTTTCTCCTCAGTTCTCCTTAAAGCCCACTGATTGGGCAGCTTCTCCTGACTCCTGTTGCCAATCATTTTCAACACAACCCTAGATGTTGTTGACAGTTGCTACATCATCTCAGCAAGTTATCCTTCAACAAGGAGCCAGGGCACATGTTCCACAGAAAGAGACCAGAGCAAATGCCTAGTTCCTTTGGAGGTTCCTAAATCCAGCAGATTAGAAACTACCCCTGATCATTCCTGGTGCATGCACCTAAGAAAATTAGACCCAGAGAGCACCATACATCCCACGACATCCCCTTTTAGAGAAATTATGCCACTCTCTTTTCTAGTACAATGTTCTTGTTTTGTTTTGTTTTGTTTTTTTAACAGGCCATTGAAAAGATTTTTGTCAAGTTTGTAAGCAGGAGCAGGCAATGTTTGCTCCCTCTCTCATTATTCTATGAGAGCCTAGATTTTAAGGATCCTACTGGAGGCCACTATAAAGGGTAGATTTATGCAGGTTGAGGCCATATTGCCAAGCATGAGGCAAAACCTCAGACTATCTTCCCTCACTTAGGTGTCTTATTCCATTCTTTTGGAATGTTGGGGAGTATTTTTTGGGGAAAAAGAGTATGTTGGGGAGAACTAGAAAATAACCCTCGGAAAACCATTAAAACAAAACAAAATATAAATGGCCTTTTTCCTACTCCCTTTCTACTTCCAGGCATGAGACCTAGGAGGCTGGCTTACAAAGCTCTCAGACAAACACCTTACTGTTCTTGTATTCTTCCTCAGATATTTCTTCTGACTCTTAGATGATAAGACCTATTGGGTCAGGGATATATCTCTGTTTAAGCTTTGCATGTATTTCCCAATCTCTTGCTGGGAGTTCACGTATTCCATGCTAAAAGTTGTAACTTAACAGTATCAGATCCAGGGTAGCTTAATGGCCCCTTTGCCTTTCCATGTTTAGGACACATTCCCTAAAAGGGCTTCCAAAAAGACAATCAAGTTTCCTTTTCCTGTCTGCATTTCTGAAATTCTTAGGCAGGTATAGGTGTCTCACAGTGATGAGATTTATTTATTTATTTTTACTTAGAGTTTCCATTTCTGGACCAGTATAATTTTCATTCCCCTAATCTGGTTTTATAGCTATTCCTTGGAAATGGGGGGTTTTGATGAAAGGCTTCTATGAAAATAGAGACTGCAGGCCGGACTAAAGAATCCTCAATGAATCAAGGAATAAAGGATAATTTCTAAAATCGTGATGCTGGTTAGAGGTAGCCACCCAAAGACAGTTGCAAAGTGGCTTCCAAATTTGCACTGGGGAACTGGGAATATACAAATGGGATGTAGAGTATTCCAGCCCTTTCAGAAAATGTGTTGACTCCCAGAGTGCCAAGGCTGTGAGACAGAGACTATAGGGATTGGGGGGAGGGGTGTCAATTGTGGAAGTGGTGGGGCAATTCCTATGGGCCTCTTACTACTTTTGTCTTTTGTCATTTTCTTTGCTGTTTGCTCCTTAGATGTCTCTGACTACCTGTCTTTTTTTCTCTCCACTGTTTTCTGGGCTGCTCTGCTGTCTGATTGGATTCACCATAGGAATGCTTTGGGGTAAATATCTTCTTTGATTTTCCTTGGGGTAGAAGTAATAAGGAGGCAAAAAAAAAAGATAAGGTTGGGTGGAATCTGGAGGTGGAATATTGGAAAAAAGCTGATGAATTGATGCAATTGAATTTCTCTCTAATGTCTTCTATTTCCTGTTACCCTTGCCACTGAAATCTCATAGAATCATTATTTCCTGTATATAAGAGGTCAAAAATTATGGACAGTTCAATTCAACAGACATTTATTAGGTACCTACTCTGTACAAGTATTATACTAGGCATTAAAGGACAGACAAAATTTAGATGTAAAAAAGATCATTATCATTATGGATCTTATAATCTAATGGAGGATGACTGTGGTTAAGACAAATACAAATAACTATTAAACAAAACATTACAGGTTATATGTGTTAGAAAGGTACAGAACAAAAGGTGCTATGGGGTTTAAGGGGAAAAGACATTCAGAGATGGGTTCATTTAAGAAGTGACATTTTAGGTTTTTTCTTCTTGTAAGTAATACTAATGTACTGAAGTAAAATTGAATTGGATTGCATGCTACCATTCTCAAAATGTCTATTTTTCACCAAATTAACTCTGCACTGGAGACTTACCTAATACAGCTCTGAGAGGAGAGGATTGAAAGCTGAAGACTGAGTAACTGACTGGGAATCTGAATTTAAAAATTCGAGACAGTCTTTGATTTTCTGAATGGTCCCTTAGCGCCTTCCTCAATGACCCCATTTTTATTGGTGGTAGTGATTTGTTTTAATAGGTATCATAAAATTTTCAAAGAATAATTTTGGAAATACATAGAGGACATGGGATATAAATGTGTGAATGTGTGTGTGTGTGTGTGTGTGTGTGTATGTGTACGTGTGTGTATGACCAATGTCAAGTGGGCTCTGGGTGGTTTTATTTTCAGTGGTACCAATCAACACATATTTATTAAGCACATACTATGTGCCAAGCACCATGCCAAGCACTAGGAATACAAAGAAAAGCAAAAACATCCCTGCCCTCAAGAAGCTTACAGGTTCTCATGGGGGACACAAAATGCAAACAATTACGTACAAAGATGATACATGCAGTGTACATGGGAGGTAATCCCAGCAGGAAGACACTAGCAAAATGTGGGAGTAGAGGTAATAGGAAAGGATTTTTCAGAAAGTAGATTTAGGCTGAGTCCTGAAGGAAGTCAGGATGTAGAGGTGAGAAGGGAAAACATTCCAGGTCTGTGGATTTGGGAAATGTAGTGGCCTACGTGGAGGCAGCTAGGCAGTGAAGTGGATAGGTTCTTGAGTCAAGAAAATTCATCTTCGTGAATTCAAATCCCACCTTAGACACTTACTGGCTGTGTGGCCCTGGCTAAGTCACTTAATACTGTCTGCCTCAGTCCTTCATCTGTAAAATGAACTGGAGAAGGAAGTGGCAAACCACTCCAGTGTCTTTGCCAGAAAAATCTCAAATGGGATCATGTAGAGTCAGACAAGAACTGGATTGAACAACAAAGTGTCCTGTGTGAGGAACAGCAAGAAATCTAATATGACCGAATCCTAGAATTCTAAGAGGTAAATAAAATGTAAAAGGACTAAAAAGGCAGGAAGGGGCCAAGTTATAAAGGACTTTAAAAACCAAACAGAAGGTTTTGCATTTGATTCTGGAGATAATAGGGAACCACTGGAGTTCATTGTATATGAGCTTTAGGAGTATCTGGTGAAACAGTGATTATAACCTTTGAGCAAGTCTTAAAGTTGCAATACCAGGTAAGAATCATTATCCCAGTACTCTAACTTTCTACTTAAAGTTTTGTATGAATGTATTTGAACTTTATTCCTGTTTTTAGTCAATCTTTTATTTTATTTTTCTACTAAGTGTTTATTTTCTCCCTCTCCCAATTTAGAAGAAAAAGAAAAGAAAAACAAAATCCTTGTAACAAATATTATAGTCAAGCAAAACAAATTCCCACATGACATGATAAAGTGGATGGTTCAGAGAAATATGAGAAGACTTGTATGAACTGATGCAGAATGACATTAACAGAACCAGGAAAAGAATTATTCGACAGCAATACTGTAAAGACTTTATTTCCCTGAGTTTCTGGTAGCTTATCATTTCTGGTTGTTTTGGGGGAAGGATAGAAAAGGAGAGAGAAATGAGGCCTGTTATATCTCTAGTGGTTGCTTGGGATCCTAGAGCAACTGGTTTCCCTTTTTTAGATCTTTTCTAAATTTTAATAACCAAAGATAGTAGAACCTTGAATTTTGTTCATTAGTTCATTTACTGTGCTTTACACATGATAGTAATTTCTTGTTGGGGGCCCTAGCTAGGCAATTGATTGTGATTTCTTTTTTACCTAACCTGATGAAAATAGTATGCCATCTTGTGCCCCAGGAGAACACAGGGTGGATTCCAGTTTCCGTGGAGCTATGTTTTTATTTTTATTTCTTAATATTTTACTTTCTGTATAGTGATTCGAAGAAAATGCAGTGCTTGCTTGTCTTTTCTGAAGGATGAATGGGGAGAAAGAAATACAGTTTACATTATTGGTTTTATACTTATTAAAAAGGATGGTAGTGCATTTCCTCCAATAGAAACAAAATCATTTCCCTGGAGCTGAATATGCAAGAGTATTAGTTGTGGGGTAAAGACAAAGGTGAATAGGATTGTACATTTGTGCAAATTTAATTCTTTGGATCTGTGAGACTGGTAAGAGCAATGTCAGAACTGAGAGCTGTCTCTGCAGGAAGACCTAGCTCTACAGATTTAATTGGTGGTTTGATCCAAGGACCTGCTGGGAAGTCTGCATGAGGTGCTAACTCTGGAACATATGACCTACTACAGTGAGAATGTCATATCCCCTGTTGCCCCCTCCTCGCCTCATTCTTTCCCATCCTAATGAGCTTTATAGAGGTGATAAACCTTTAGCTGAAGAGTACACTGAGCTAAGTCCCTTGGAGAGATATGAGGATCAATACTGACCCCTGCTCTCCATCACAGCTTTCCATTTTTAAATATATATAAGGAATATAAGGAATACATTTTTAAACTGAAGTAGCTTTTACCTCATTAAAGTGTGTGTGTGTGTGTGTGTGTGTGTGTGTGTGTGTGTGTGTGTGTATACGCACTCACTAGAATGGAGTGGAAAACCTTTGTTTATTATGTCTTTTCTGCAGTGTCTGAAGACTCTCATAGAAGGAATATACCATGACCATGCCTCAGGTCCTCTCCCCTTCTCTTTCTCTTCTCTCTCTCTCTCTCTCTCTCTCTCTCTCTCTCTCTCTCTCTCTCTCTCTCTCTCTCTCTCTCTCTGTTTCTGTGTGTGTGTGTGTGTGTTCAGTTTTATGAGAATGGAGTAGAAAACATTGTTTTAAGGTCTCTGTAGGATCTGAAGATTCCCACAGAAGGGTTTTGCTATGACCCCATCCCTGGTCCTGTCTCCTTTTCTCTCTCTTACTCTGGCATTTTCTGGATGCAGTAATTTTCAGCTTCTTCTCCTTCCACATACTAATAATTTCATTTTGGATGCTTTTGCCACAGCACCAACAAAGGCCGGGATATCAAAACCATTAAGTCTTTGCGTGTGCTCCGAGTTCTGAGGCCGCTGAAAACCATCAAGCGCTTACCCAAGCTCAAGGTATAATTTCCCATGCTTGCTGTCTCTGTGTACCTTATCACCGCCTTATTTTTAAGCCACTGACTTGTTTTTCATGTGGCACCCTATATCTTTTTACTCTACACACAATGTACCACAGTCTGAGAAATCTAGAAAGAGATCTTTCACCTCCTGATTCTGGTTTGAGATGACGTTTTTATATCCTGTAAGGCCATTTGTCTTACTTAGGTATGTGTATAATGTCTAGATTTGATGGGCATTCCACTAGTGAGGCCTGTGATACTGGTACAGGTCAAAAACTCATCCATCATAAAAAAAGAGAGTGGGGAATGACTGGGCTTTTAGCAGTCACACCAGAAGACAGATGTACACCGGGCTAGATAAGCTTCTAAGCTCAGGATAGGAGAGGCAGGGTGTGGGGGAGGGGAGAACGATATCTAAGTTTAAAAAGGACAAGAAATTGCATATAGTTTTAGAAGCAGAGTGTGAATAGGAGCTGTATTCCTCTTAGAATCAATCAAAGCCAATATGTGAGACTGATTCATGCATCTAATTACTTTCTAGAAAAGAGAGAAGTTATCTCAGAATTGGAGAAGCAGAGATTCTGAGATTCTAGATGTGAGAAATTGGAGGAACCATGGAGCAGAGAATTGAGCTATGGCAGAGAAGGGAGATATTGAAAACAGTTCTTGACACTATAGGCCAGAGGTCATATGATGGAAAGAAGGTTGACTCTTTTTCCCTACTACATCCAACTGAGAAAAGACTATCAGATTTGGTGATTAAGAGATCATTTGGGATCTGGCAGAGAAAAGTTTCAGTTGAGTGGTGGAGAGAGAAAGTCAGCTAGCAAGGAATTAAGAAATAAGTAAAAGAAACAAAGTAGAGACAATGAATGTAGATGAGAGATTGTCTATGAAAGGAAGGAGGGATATTGGACTAGTAAAGTCAAGGAAAGATTAACAGTGCAGGAGATTTGGGCATTTTAGTAGGCAGTGGGAAAGGAGACAATAGATAGAATTAGAAAATTATGGAGAGAAGGGAAGAAGAGAAGAAAGGAAGGCATAGATACAAGCCACAAGTAGAAGGGTTGGCACTGTCAAGAAGGGCCACCTTATACTCTGAGGAAGGAAAGAAAGGAAGACAAATTGAGGGGATTTGAAATATGAAATTAGAGAATAGAGGGAGCTCGCAACAGATTCTCATCCTCTCTCTCTCTCTCTCTCTCTCTGTTTTTTTTTCAATGTATTATGAAGTGGTCCTCTTCTGAGAGGAATAAGGAAGGAGTAGTGTAGATGGTTTAAGAAGCCACCTTTTATCTTGTTCTAGAATCTAAACCATCAAACCATATTGAGGCAGCTCCTCTTTCTGAAATGGCACACAGTATAATGTAGGTGGCTTTAATGATTCTAGGAGGCTACAAGTGTCAATCACATTCCCCACAGTGTTGAGCTAATTAATCTAGTAATGCTTCACCCAGAGCACTGGAGAGACAACTGCACAGGATACAAGTCACCCCAGGGCTAGACTCCCCAGTGCTCAAAACCTAAAAACCTAGAAAAGAACCTAAAAATGGCATGAAATGCAATGAATTCCCACGTAATACTTCACGATTTATGGAAAGAGCACTGGAACAGGAGTCTCTGGAGGGAAAGTATCTAGTTCTGGTTTCTCCCAGATTCACTATTGGACTGAAGTGCAAGCTTTTGTTTGCGTAATCTGTTTATCTTATCTTCCCAAAATGAAGTTAGGAATGATGACTGTCCATTGATTTACACTGGAGCTGATTTTTAGCCCTAACCAGAGTACAGTGAACACAACAGGGAAGTAATGTCTCCAGCTAGTTTCAAAAGTCTTTGACATACTGTGAATGAAATGCTTTGAGCAACTTAAAAAAAAAGTATGACTTTAATACTAAATAATATTCGGCTCAGAAGAATTGATGACCTACTGTCACACTCTGTCTCAGGTAAAAAAGCTAAAAAGGAAACCATTTTCTGTGTACAAATCTAAGAACATCATTATTACCTTTGTGACCCTGGACATGTCTCTTGGCCTCAGTTTCTTCATTTGTAAAATGAAAGGATTGAATTGTATTTTCTCTAGATAATCTTTCTGCTCTAACATTTTTTATTCAATGAGAGTTCATATTAGATATCTAGGCCAGAGTTTCCCCACCTATATACTTAAAGGGTTGAATCAAGCATTTGCTAAGCACTCATTATGTATCTCTGTTAAGTACTGTGCTAGGCATTGGTGATACCAAAAGCAAAAATGAAACAATATAGCTTACATTATATCAACAAAACAATATATAGACATATAAGTATAAATAAAACATATTTACAGGAAATACAAGATCATTTCTGGGGGAAAAGGAATAGGAATAGAGGAATAGAGAGCTGGACTTGGAGTCAAGAAGACCTGAGTTCAAATCTCATCTCATATACTTGGTGTTGAGTCATTTCAGTTATGTACAACTCTTCATGACCCCATTTGAGGTTTTCTTGGCAAAGATACTGGAGTGGTTTGCCATTTCCTTCTCTAGATCATTTTACAGATGAGAAACTTAGGCAAATAGGGTTAAGTGACTTGGCCTGGGTCACATATCTAGGAAGTGTCAGAGTCCAGATTTGAACTCATGAAAATGAGCCTTTCTACTTCCAAGCCTAGTGTTCTTTCCACTGAACCACCTAGCTGCCTCATATATGTACTAGCTGTATAACTCTAGGCAAGTCACTTAACCTCTCTCAGCCTCATTTAACTCATCTGTAAAGTGGGGATAATAACAGCATCTACCTCAAAGGATTGTTGTGAGTATTGAATGAGTTAACATATTGGGTAAAGCACTTTGTAAACTTTAAAATACTGTATGAATACTAGCTATTATTATTATTATCAAACATGGGAAAGACCTGGACATGTTTGTAGGCATCAGGGAAGGAGACAGAAGATAGATGTTGATAAGAGAGAAAGAAGGAAAAGAAGTAATTATAGCAATAGTCTGCCAGAAGAAAACAGTCTTTCAACTTTAACATTTTATGTTTGACATATGCTCATTTCACAGCTTTGGGCCTCATTTTCCTCATCTGTAAAATGAGAGGATTGGCCTAGATGATTTCTAAGGTTCCTTTCAGTTCTAGCCTTCTACAATTAGATTTCTGTGCTTCTTACCAAAGCAGAATACTCCACAAAGAGAGCTTTCTAGGGAATTTCACAAAGGAATGTGCATGGATGGAATAGTTTTGAACTCCTTGGTCCTCTTATATCCCTTTTGATCTTATTGCTTTGGTCTCCCATCCGCACAGAAGAGGATCTGTCTCCTTTCCCTAATAAGTAGTCTTTTCATTTCTGTCCAGCAAAGGCATCTTTTGTCCCTGTGGTACCCTTTGCTGTGGAAAGAGGGTTCTCTCCATCAGGTCACTCTGGGTTATAGATATGTGATGAGGGCTTTATTTTATCTTCTGATTGATAGCGGGGAATCTCAAAACTGAAAATGAAAGTCCATGGGCTTTACAATGCATATTAACTCTTTCTATAGCTATAGATGGTTATGTGAAAAAAAAAAAGTCAAGTGTTTGGTACAAATCTGAATTATCCAGTACCTCCCAAATCCACTAGCTGATGTTTGCTTCTTTCCATAGGCTGTCTTTGACTGTGTAGTGACCTCCCTGAAGAATGTATTCAACATACTCATTGTCTACAAGCTCTTCATGTTCATCTTTGCCGTCATTGCAGTCCAACTCTTCAAGGGGAAATTCTTTTATTGTACAGACAGCTCCAAAGACACAGAAAAGGAATGCATGTAGGTGCTGCAGATGGGTATGAAATCCTAGCATCTTCCTGAGAAAATAGGTGCTATTTAGTCCCAGGATGATAGAAGCAGTGCCTGAAAGGTTTGATGAGATATCTTTAGTATACCCCTTCCTTGGTTATGGATTACCTTCAATTTAAATTCCAAGAGCTACCTACATGTGTAATTCCCATACAACAGGACCTCAAAGTCACTCAGCTATGCACAGAATTATCTGGCTAAATATAAGTCAAATTCTTTTTGTACTGCTCAAGTGCAATGTTAGATGGGAACAGCATAAAAAGGGAGAAGTCCCTTTTGGAGGAAAATCAATACTTTTTTTTTTTTTAGCAATGGATACACCATTCAGCATAAAAGTCGATTCTTTCCACTAGAAAAAGGAACGGTCTGTTGTGGGATATATGTAGTGAAGATTGTTTCCTTCTCTTACATGCTAAATAAATAGCTCAAATCAAGGTCCATGATTGCATTTTCTTCCTCTTCTTCCCTTGTTAGACTTCCTAAGAAATTCTAAGTTACTACTTCAAAGAATAGAGCAATCTTACCTTAGAATGATCACTCTGATTCATCATTCAGAAGTCACTTCCATCAACCCATAAGATCAAGCTGCATCTATGCAAAATAGCCTACTTTAGATTATCTGGAAATAAGGAGAAACATCTTCCTTTTTTGGAAAGGATAATTGAAGTGCGAGATAATCCTCAAGCTTGAGGGTGGTCATTAGCTCAATTCTATCCAGTTCAATTCATCAAGTATTTATTAAGCACTCCTCCATAAGCATTGATTCAACCTCTTGGTGTACAAAGATAAAAATGAAAATAGTCCCTAACCTCAAGTAGCTTACTTACTAGGAAAAAAATTTCTGAATGCAAATAAGTAAAGACAAAATATTTGCAGAATAAATACAAAGTAATATGAAGGGAAGTATTAACAATTGGGGGAACCAAGAAGTGCTTCATGTACAATGTGGCACTTGAGCTGAGCCTTGCCTAAAATGGAAGTTGGGATTCCAAAAGAAGGAGATGAGGAGAGATGACCATCTAGGCATTGTTTCATCTGCCTCTCCTACCAGACCTTTAGCCAAATAGCTAAATGTGTTTGAGTGCTTGAGTCTACCTATTCCCCTACTTCCTTCTTTCATATTTTCCCCTCCTCCAATCCCCAAAACGTCCCTCCATGTCCCTGCTTTTTTCTTTCTCTTTTCCATCTGCCCCCATTTCTATTACTAGGGGAAAAATTAGGTGGCAATATAAGTGAAAAATGTTAAGTCATTCTGTAAATCTGCTATTACTGTTCCTTCCCCCTAGCATCAGCATATCATTGTCCAGCAGAATGGCAGATATTTCCTCTCTACATTGTAAACTATGGTGAAAAGGTCCTGTTTTTGCTTTTTCTCTGCTTTGCAGAGGCAACTATGTGGATCATGAGAAAAACAAGATGGAGGTAAAGGGTCGGGAATGGAAACGCCATGAGTTCCACTATGACAACATCATCTGGGCCCTGTTGACCCTTTTCACTGTGTCCACTGGGGAGGGCTGGCCGCAGTAAGTAATGGAGCCTGCCTCTCTGTTAATGAACCCAAAGTGAGACTACATAGTTGCTTTGAAAAGGTGATTCAAGTTGAACAGAATTGATTCTGCCATTAGTCAAGGGGAAGTAAGTGGTTCTTATTGAGCAAGGTAAACAGAAAAGTGGTCACACAGAATTCCTTTAGGCAAAAATTGAAAGAAGGATAAGACAAGAAAAATATTTGAGAAAGGGTGTTGTAGCCAATTAGTGAAGGATTTGAGAGGTACTTGTAGAGCAAAGAACTTTTGCATATTTTATACATACACACACACACACACACACGCGCACACACACACACACACACACACACACACTCACACACACTTTTTTAGGAAGACAAGGGCTGTTGAAACCAGGAGTTTCTCAAACAACTCCACTCTCTAATCACAGATTCTACCTGCTAGCCTTAGAACTATGGACCAAGTTTGGAATAAGAGCAATATTATAGTGAACAAAAAATTGAAGCTAGAGATAACCTTCTCTCATCTTGACTGTTATGAGTAAGGCCTATTTCCTTACTTCCAATTAACCACATCTATAATTGGCCATGTAGACATCCCCAAGCTACCAGTATTTGCCTGATGGTAGCAAATCTTACTCATTTACAAGGAAATAATGGAAATCTTGAAGGCTGCATTTGCAAACCTAAACTACAGAGCTAAACAATACCATTATACTCTTACTCAATACAAAATGAATAATAAGAACAGTTTGCTATTTGTATTGAACCAGCATGATTATAGGCATCAGAAACTGATATAATATGCCTAAACTGAGAAAGGAAAGGATAACAAAGAAGGTAGGCTCATGAAACAAGAGCCCAGTCCCATGCCAAAGATTTTATTGTTCAGCCCAGAGCAGAGCAGAATGGGATCATGGAAAGAGTGGTGCATCTGAAATCAGAAGATCTAGATTCAGATCCTAAAACCATCATGTGCTGGCCAGGAGATCTTGGTCAGTTTCCTTATTTCATAAACAAGGACAATAACACTTGCAAAAGGCTATTGTGAGAAAAGCATTGTGTAAGCCTAAAATCATTAAAGAAATGTTTAATTTTTTCCCCCTCTCTATCCCTTTGCTTCCTAGAGTTTTGCAGCATTCTGTGGATGTGACTGAGGAAGACCGGGGCCCAAGCCGCAGCAACCGCATGGAAATGTCCATTTTTTATGTGGTATACTTTGTGGTCTTCCCTTTCTTCTTTGTCAACATCTTTGTTGCCCTCATCATCATCACTTTCCAGGAACAAGGGGACAAGATGATGGAGGAGTGTAGCCTGGAAAAGAATGAGGTAACTCAGGCCGGGTGCTCAGGAGGCTCTGGGAAGAATTTGTTAGTCAGAAACATTGAGGCAAAAAGCCGAATCTTCTGTCCATGATCCCATGATAGATTAGAGTTAAGTAACAGTAAGTATGCTTCATATTTTATAAAAATGTAAAAGGTGTAAAGATAGTGGACAGTTCAGAAAATAATTATACTGCTGCTCTTAATAGTTCATGTTATTTAGTGCCTTAGAGGACCATCTGCTTTGATCCCTACAATAACCCTGTGAGGTAGGATCTATTACAATCTCCATGTTACAGATGAGGAAACTGAGGTTCAGTGATGTTACTCAGTCAGGGTCATGTAACTAGTATATGTTAGTTTCAGGAATTATTCCATGCCGAAGCACCTCATATGATATGTGATATGAAAGTGCTTCATCGCCTGTATATTCAGCCTTCTCTCCTGTAGTTCTGTCTAATTAGTCTCACTGATTTTGCCTTAGTCTTAGCCTTTTCCAAAAATACATTAAAATTGTCCTCCACACTAACTTCATGAAAACAAGGGTAAGGAGCCTCGTTAAGGGAATTTCAGTTCATGCTAATGGACTTGGCTTTCCTCCAGAGGGCGTGCATCGACTTTGCCATCAGTGCCAAACCACTCACCCGCTACATGCCCCAGAATCGGCATACATTTCAGTACCGTGTCTGGCACTTCGTGGTGTCCCCATCCTTCGAATACACCATCATGGCCATGATTGCCTTGAACACCGTGGTGCTGATGATGAAGGTGAGAGGACTGCAGGACCAACAGCTCAGACTTTTTAGTCACATAACTATTTTATATTGTCCCAAACATTGGGAAAATACTTTCCTCTAACTAGGATTCCTTTCATACTTGGCCCAGCGGTCTACCCTCTGGGTCTCTTGGAATCCACTAAGTCGAACTTTAAGGAAATAGGTGACAATATAATAACAGACACGAGCCTTTCAAGACTGTTGTCACCAATAGGAAGAACAGGTGATGGTACAAAGTAGACAGTCTCTAGAATTTTGAGGAGTCAGTAAGAATGGAGAACTAATTTCCATTTAATGCCACATGTCTCATTAAACAAGAAGGTTGATAGAACTGCGAATTCACCACTGGATAATGGCATGTTTAATATTCAAATTAGAATTCTAGGTTCCTATCCTATATACTTCAGTTTGTTCTGGAGAAACTATAGTCAGTACTGTTGGCAATTCCTGAGGACACAGTTTCATGCTATACTTATGATCTGGAACATTCAGTCAGTAAACAAGGATTTATTACATAAATACGTCCTATGTGCCAAGCACTGTGCTAAGCACTAGGAAGACAAAGAAAGGTAAAAGACAGTCCCTGTCCTCAAGAAGCTCACAGTCTAATATGGGAGAGAACATGCAAACAACTATGTACAAATAAGATTATGTACAGGATAAATAATAGATACTTAACTGAAGTAAGGTGCTGACTTCAAAAGGCAATCAGAAAAGGCTTCTAGTAGAAGGTGAGATTTTAGCTGAGACTTGAAATCAGGAAAGCCAGGAAGCAGAGAGGAGGTAGGAGAGAATTCCAGGCATGTGGGGCCAGTCAGTGAAAATGCCCAGAATCAGGAGATGCAGTTTCTTATATGAGAAATATTTCTCCTTCTATAGAATCTGAAGGCATCCCACCATGGATATGAGGTAGCCAGTCTTGATGAACAGGTAGTTTTCTTCTCTCCTTATTGTCTTGACTATCTCCCTCTATTTCTCCCTTCCTGCGTCTATCTCTCTCTTTTTCTAACAGTACTACTCTGCTCCCTGTACCTATGAACTGGCATTAAAGTATCTGAATATAGCCTTCACCATCGTGTTCTCCCTGGAATGCATCCTCAAGATCATCGCTTTTGGCTTCTTGGTACGTCTCAGGGACTTTGTTCCCAGTACTAGGGCTGTCCTTGTAGGGTCCTCTGGTACATTACTGACATTGGCTTTTGGTGTTAGTGCTTTTCAGAAAGAGGTACACATTTGCACGTCTAAGCACAAACTGGTTTTGGTGCTCTGAAAACATCTTTAGTATCAAGGCATAAGATCATTTGGATATGAGAATAAGAAATCCAGTTCTCAGTCTCAGCTATAACCAGCCATCTTTCTAGTCCATGCTGATTATTTTTTGAAAGCAAAAGAACACTGACCATTGCTTTTCTCTTAAACAGTGATTTATGAGGAGGAGGAGGAATCAGAGAGAAATGAGAATTAAATGAACATAATTTTGACATCCTGTCTATGTACTGGAACTAAGATTCCATTTTCAAATTGTAAATTTTCATCAGATTTTTCCAATCAAATTAGAAATGTGCATTTTACTATACTTTTATTCAGGAATTCCCCATCTGATAACCTTAACATAAGATAAGTAAAATTGTAATGTTTCAGAGCTAAAAATAATCTCAAAGGTGATCTAACGCAGTCCTCTTATTTCATATATAAGGCAGTTAAGGGCCATTGCTGCTTTAACTTGGCCCCCACAGTCACTAGAAGGCAAGTCTCTTAATTCCCACTGAGTTTATGTATGGTAGTTCTCATGGGTGGGATGGGGGGAAGGTGGCATGGTTTTTGCAGGAATTCTCCTTTTATGTCTTCTCAACTGCTCATTATAATTTTTAAAGGCACCTTATTTTGCAATTCACATGCTCTCCAAAGCATCAGGAAGATCTAGACTTTTGCCTGAGTATTCTCCCTCTCATTGGCATCAGGGCTTGCAGTAGGTGCAGTAAGACCAGCACGTTGGGAGATTATTAAGATGCAGACGAGCCCACTTGGCAGCCATTTCACACTTATTTGGGGGTGTGAACTACAATTTCAAATTACATGTGTGTGTGTCTTTCCCTGTAAGAAGAAAAATATTATTCATGATCTGAATATGTGTTTGGCTGCTTGTAGTTCCAGCTTGGCTCCAGACTGTGTTTTGGTAATTGTTCTGCAGAATGATTGTCGTGATTTCCTTTGGTTTCCCAAATGGTTTTTTGTTTAAAAAAATCATTAATTTGATAATTTGGGGTGGGGAATTGAGTGTTGCCCGTGCAGCTGGTTGTGATGTTGTTCACTGGACTCCCTGAGAATGCTGTGAGAGTTCTGAGACTGGGGAAATGAAAAGGGGATCAGGAGAACCCAACAACAAAGACGTGTTTACAGTGCAGACTAACCCTGCTGAACTGAAAGAGACAGAGGACCCAGCACCACAACAAGCAAAGTTTGTCCATTTATTATAATTACTTGTGCACGGTCCTGACATTATCTTTAGTTTAAGCCCCTAATTACTCACTGAATTATGCTGAACATACACTTAGGGGCCTTAATCCCACCCTGAGCCTGCCTTCTTTCCCCATCACTGCCCCCATCCCCTAAGGCTCTTATTCAAAATCAAGAAGCATTTCCATATTTGTGAATTTCAAAAAACGGAACCATAGTGATCATTTCCAGGAGTTCAGCTCCCTCATTTTACAAATGAGCAAAAAGAGGCCCAGAGCAGTGAAATAACTTGTCCAAGGTAGGTTACATTGCTAATTATTAGCATAGCCACCAATCTATGTTTCCTGATCAGTGAGGTACAATGAAAAGAGACACTGGATTTGTCATCAGAGGAACTGAATTCACCTCCCAGGAACGTTACTTACCATGTGTTTGACTTTGAGCCAACCTCTCCACTACCCTAGGCCTCAGTTTCCAGATCTGTAAAATGAAAGATTTGTACTAGATGACCTCTGACTTCCCTTTCCATTATAGATCCATGCTCCCCTCTGCTCCCATCTAATCCCAAAAGGAAACATTCAGGCCAAGGTTAAGGTTAGGCAAAAGCATCCCAAGACTTAAAATTTCAGTGCTTCTGTATGAACTCTAGAATAAAATATAAACTACTCAATTTTAAAAGCTTCTTGTAGTCTGTCCCCAACCTTGGTAGTGATTTCACATCATTTCCTTTCATTCATTACGTCCCCATCAAATTGGCCTACTTTCTGTATGTAGCCTAAACACAGTCTTCTACTCCCTGTGCCTTGATACAGACTGCCTCCTGTGCCTGCAATGCTTTCCTTCCTCGCCTCCTCCTCCTGGAGTCTGTAGCTCAGCCTCAGCTGAAGTGCTACCTCTTATTTGAGGCTTCTTGATGGATCAGTTGATAAGCATTTATTAAATGCTTACTCTGTGTCAGACCTTGTTCTAGGCATGATGATCCAAACACAAAGTACCCTTCAAGGAGCTCAAAGTCTATCACAGAAGAAAACATGCACATACATAAGTATATATGAAAACTGGCAAAATAAAGCAATGCATATTTATGGAAGGGGAGGGCACTAGGTGTTGGGACTGGAAGTGTGGCAGGGTCAGGGGGCAGGGTGTCAAGAAAGGCTTCGTGTTCAAGGTGGATCTTGAGGAGAATTTGAAAGGAAACATGGGACCTCAAGAGGCAGAGGTGAAATGGAAATGAACTCTGGGCATGAGGGATAGCCAGTACAAAGACTCAGAGATGGAAGATGGAATGCCATGTTGTGACAGCATGTGGGAAGGAGAGTATTGTATAATAAAATTGGAAAGGTAGGTTGGTCCGAAGTTGTGAAGGGCTTTAACAGAGAAACAGCAGCTTGCGTGAGATCCTGGAATCAATAGGGAGCCATTAGAAATGATTATGTAAGTGAGGTCTGACATAGGTCAAGATCTGTGTTTCAGGAAAATCATTTTGGCACCCTTGGGGAAGAACGACTGCACAAAGGAGATGCTAGAGGAAGGGAGAACAGTTAGGAGATTTCTGTGTGTAAGTGTCAGAGACAGTATTCTAACCCAAATCTTCTGCCTCCAGAGCCAGTACTTTTATCATTGTGCCAAGCTGCCTCTCATGGGAAACCTCCCACCCTTTGCCATGATAGCCAATCATGGGAGGGTTTTCAAACACAGCCTTACCACCTAACACTCCTCCCCTCCATCCTTCCTGCTGCCACACTGTTCCCAATTTCCCACCTTCTCCCCCAAGATTTTGCTTGGAGGCAGTTATAACTGCCACCTGGGTACTCATAGCAGCTGTTCAGGCTCCACTGGGGAAATTTCCCACCATGTGTTGAGTTTGAGATATATACAGGATATCTAGTTTGAAATATCCAGGAGGCATTTAGAGATATGCCCATGTGCCTTAGGAGAGAGCCTAAGGTTATGTATATAAATTTGAGAGTCATTTGCAGAGTGATGATAATTAAACCCACAGGCTCTGATGTGGTCACCAAATAACAAAATGAGGAGAATAAAGATAAGAGGGTTGAGGGCATCTTGAGGTATACCCATAGTTAGTTGGCGTGACATGAGTCCTTCAAAGGAGACCAAGGAGAAATGTGATCAAGAGAAAGAATAGTGTCACAAAAATCGAGAAAGGAAAGGAAACATGATTGATGGTGTCAAATGCTATAGAAAGATCAAGAAGAATGAGGACTGAAAGATCTGGTACCTCGCAAGTCTGTCTTTATTAGTTAGGTTCTTACCATGTACTAGGCACTGAGTGAGCTGTTTTGGTTTAGTTATGATATCAGAAACCAGATTATGAGGGTCAAAAAGTGAGTGAGAGAAGAAGAAATGAAAGTAACACAGACAGATAGTAAGTTGCAGAGTAAGACATATTTTTGGACATATGAGAAATGGGAATTTGTTTTGACTATGCATATTTGTTGTAGAGGTTTTGCTTTTTTTAATTGAGTTGTTTAAGGAGAAGAGAAAAAGCCTTATCAACAAAAAAAGAAGAAGAAATAGAGTTTGGTTGAGAAAGGGTAGAGAAATAAAAGATTGCAGTTTGAGGGAGTTGTAGGATATACTGAGTTAAAAACTCACTCAACATGTTTCAGTTTTTTGGTAGTAGGGCATGATTTTTTTCAGCATTGAAATTCACTTACTTGGGTGGTTACATTGATCAAACAAACTGAATAATCATTTATTATCAAACAATTATTATTTAGAAGCCTGCCCTGTCATCCAGAACATATACAGGATTTTTTAGTGAAATGATTGGGTATACTAATTTACTCTAGTGTGTAGTCACTTTGTAAGCAAACTAAGTATATGGTTTTATACATTTGCCTTTACAAAAAAAAAAAAGAAACTACGAGCGAAAAAAAACCCTGCTTTTTAAAAGAAACTCCTTTGGCGAGATAATATTTCAAACGCATGTGATTTGGTTACCCAAAATGATGTAGTTGTGTTACCCATAAAAACCTTTATTTGCTCATTTTTAAAAACTTGAAGCAGAATTTTCTAACCTACTTTAAAATCTTCCAAATGAGTTTTGGCAGTGTTTTAACCCATTTGTTAAAAAGTAGAAATGCAATATTTTCTGACTAGTTTGCAAGAACAACTGTTTGACATAAGGAAAGATGGAATTTACTACTTAAATTTCAATCAAAACCTTTGTATAATTGGTGGAAGGGTTTGAAAAAGAGTATCATGAATTAACAGGTGGAGCCAATGATATACTTCTTCCATTTGGCTCCACTTTTGTGATGTATCTTTTTTCAGCTATTGCAACCATTAAAACTAAATTTTGAAATAAACTAAACTGAGTACCATACCTTTGAATTGCTTCATCACAGTGTTATACCAAGATTTAAAAAAAAAATATGAACCATCAACATGGCTAATATGGAAAAATGTTTTGCATTACTTTACATTTATAACGGGCATCATATTGTTTGCCTTCTCACTAAGTAGGAGAAGGGCTTGAGAGAAGAAAAGAATTTAAAACTGAAAATAATTTTTTAAAAATTAAATTAAAAGAAAATAGTGAAGCATATTTAATCACATTGCTTTCACTAGAAATGCCATTAATATTCCTAGTAAGAACAAATGGGGTTTGGTACTTTTAATAAATAAAAGAAAAATCATTTGAAATTTTTAATTTTATCTTTAGCTTACCTTTTTAAATTTCCTTTTTGTGTTTTATAGTGTACAGTATATATTAGTACAATAGCATATGAACAAAATTTACAAATAGATATACAGATATAGAGACATTGTCAATTTTTTTAAATTGATAAGAGTATGCAACCAAAAACAGTTTGGAGACCATTTGCCCACAGGAGTTCTATAGGTAGATTTCAGGGAGCTCATGAACTTGGGTGTGTGTTTACATCTTTATTTTTAACAAACTTTGCTTTTCTTTATTATCCTATATATTTTATTTTGCACATTTTAAAACATGATTCTGAGAACGGATTTGCTTCACCAGACTGCCAAAGGTATCCAGGACACAAACAAGATTAAGAACCCTTGCCCTAGAGGTTAGAGAAACAGGAATGTATTTTTTCCCCAAGATTTCACTGTACAAGCTACATTACTTGAAAACTGAAGACCTACAGACCTACTAAGTAGGCACCCCTATGAATGAAGAAAAGCCTCAAAGACTTGGTGGTATCTGACATAAGATTTGACCTCAACATCATCTTTTAGTTAATAAAACAAACCTACTTAAGCACTAAGCCACATCACCCCCTGTTTATACATGGTACCTCGATATGCGGGGAGTTGTTCAAGTACCTATCTTATGAGCCCCACCGTGGCACAAGAGGGATTTGACCTGTTTTTGCTTAAGAAAGCAGATCTGGGAAGAATGAGCAGAAGTTGCAGAAAACCAAATTTCAGCTCAACATAAGGAAGGACTTAATAAATAGGGCCCTGCACAGATTAACTGGACTGCCTGTAGAGGTGGAGGATTACTCATTATTGGAAAACTTTAAGATGAGTCTCAATGACCACTTATTGCTTCTTTTGTAAAGGGGACTCCTACCGAGGTACAAGTAACACTAGATGGACTCTGAAGTCTCTTTCAACTCAGATTCTGTGATTTTCCACTGAACATTATGGTCATAAACCCAATTTTCAATACAAACCATTCTGTGATTATCAAAAAAAATTAGTGGCATCATTGAAAAATGGCAAATTTTGTAGCTGGTAAAGGAGACACGGGAGTTCTGGTTGGAAATAATAAAATATAAGTAAAAGTTATTGTGACTTTGTGTATCAACTGATATTATTTAATGCCACATGGCAAATGTAAAGCAAGATAACCAACAGTCTTGCTTTCTCTTCTTTTTATCTATTTCCTTGACCTTGGTCATCTGGCAGAATTATTTCCGAGACACCTGGAACATCTTTGATTTCATCACAGTCATCGGCAGCATCACAGAAATTATCCTGACGGACAGCAAGGTGAGAATCCTGAATCTAATTTAAAAAATCCTGTATTCCCATTTATCCAATCAAACCCAGAAGCATTATTTTTTATTTAACCCACTTAGACCATGCAATACCATGGATCAATTTCCAATGCTCATAGTGTCAGGTATACCCTAATATTTAGGCAGATAGATAGCACAGTGGATAGAGCACTGGACCTGAAGACAGAAAGACCTGAGTTCAAACCCATATTTGTTTACCTCCAAATGGAGTCAATGGTAAAGGTTCAAGAATGAAATAAAAACTCCCTGAGTGGGCAGCATCCATTTGAGCATAACCAACAACATGCTTACCACAAAATATTACAGAAATGAAGGTGGTATGGATTAAAAAAAAAGTGATTTATGAGAACAATACAACATTAGCTCATTGCTACTAGAAAGTATGAAAGATTTTTTGATTAATGCTGATTTTGAAAGGAAATGATAGAAATTTTACAACATATTGTTGCAAGCTGCAAAAATTTTGTTGTTGATATTTACTTGTGTTTAGTTGTATCCAATTCTTTGTGATCCCTTTTGGGGTTTCTTGGCACAGACGCTGGAGTGCTTTGTCATTTCCTTCTCCAGCCCGCTTTACAGATGAGGAAACTGAGGCCAATAGGGTTAAGTGACTTGTCCATGATCACATAGCTAGTAAGTGTCTGAGGCCACATTTGAACTCATGTCTTTCTGACTCCAGGTCTGGCACTCTATCCACTGTACCACCTAGCAAAATTTAGCTCCTCTCAAATGCCTAAAAAATAAAATAAAGTGGTAAGAATTACACCCTGAAAGCTAGCTGTCCTTTAAAAACTAACATGATAAATCCCCATACAAATAAAACTCATAAATATTCTTGAGGATTCAGTAAATAGCCTTTTTTGGAAGTGGAAAACCATCAGGCAAAACTGTATCCACACTAGCCCTGTTGTAGAACTGACCAATAAAAATTTTAAAGCATTATTTTAATAAATGCTGCCACATCAAATACTTATAACCTATTATCTATGTGGAATGAAAAACTTTCAAAATATTGAAATTAGGGGCAGCTAGGTGGCACAGTGGATAGAGCACTGGCCCTGGAGTCAGGAGGACCTGAGTTCAAATCTGGCCTCAGACCAAACACTTGACACTTACCAGCTGTGTGACCCTGGGCAAGTCACTTAACCCCAATTGCCTAAAAGAAAATGCTGCTCAAAATATTGAAATTACCAGAAGAAATTAAAACCATGTGGGAAGAAAATAAAGTACATATCTATGTTGTACTTGTACTCAAGTTGTCCCACATATGCTTTCCGTGAGCCTACAGAGACGAATATACAACTCAACACTTCAATTCAATTATAAAAAGCAACCCTTTTGTTCACCTTACACAGTAGTCTACCACTCTTGAAGCATAAAAGAACAATAGTAGGATAGTGATGTCATGGAACTATTTCTCTCTAAGCTCCATAAAATATAAGATGAGAATAAGAATGAGTGATAATTAATGGACATTCACATTGTGATTTAAATTTCTTGAAGCCCTTTGTATGTATGTTAACTCATTTAAACCTCTCAAAACCCTGTGTGGTATGTAAAATGGATATAATTTTCTTCACTTACAGAGAAGAAAACTGAAGCTCAGAGAGGTTAAATGATTTGGTCCTCATCACTAAGTATCAGAGATAGGGAAGATTGGAGTCATTCCACTTTGCCACCATGGTAGCTAGAGGTAGGGTTTTGAGAAGATGTATAGAGATGTTGCTCGATTCTAGCATTAGTCCAGTGCTGTGAATACTGGTATTTAGTAATTTCTAAATGATCAACATGTCAGTAATTATTTCCATCTTTCTCCCCCAGCTGGTGAATACCAGTGGCTTCAACATGAGTTTCCTAAAGCTCTTCCGAGCAGCCCGTCTCATTAAGCTCTTGCGACAGGGTTATACCATCCGCATTTTGCTATGGACTTTTGTTCAGTCTTTTAAGGTAAGAAACACTGGCTTTCTTTCTCTTCAAATTGAAGAAGTCATAAAAAATGTGTCACAGGAAGCAGCATGGCAAAAAAAGGGTGTCATTTGGCATCTTTGGGTTTTACCTCCCTATTGCTTAGTGTGTGTGTGTGTGTGTGTGTGTGTGTGTGTGTGTGTGTGTGTGTTTTAATTTGTACTTTGAGAATGGTAGAATAGAATATTGGTCAAAAAGTGTTATATAAATTTAGTATAAAACCTTTATTGTCACTCATAACATTCAGGTATGCTATAGGTCAAGTCATCTCCAATGAAGTATAATCTCTTACTGGAAAAACTTAATAAAACACAGTCTGGTGTATCAGTCTGGCCACCCTTGGTGAGGAAGAAAGAGAAAAAACATTAACTCTGTGCTGATTTAGATAATTTATTCTACATAGCAATGAGGTCATTGTATACATTTTTAACAACAGGCACCTGAAGCTGCCTTCTTTTACTATTTATGGTTTTTATGTCCTGTGCCAGACTTCAAAAAGCTTCATCTTTTGAGTTTTAGCAAGGTCACTTGAGTCACTCCTTTCATCCTTGGCCTCCCCATTGTCATTATAATTGGTAGATCTCCTTCATTTTATTGGGCTCCTGGATGCACTAGCATCATATGGGATATTCAACTCCAGTTGTTTTAGTAGCATTGTACTCTGTCCTATTCAGACCACACTTGAAACTGTTGTTCACAATTTTAAATGTAACCTTTTTAAAGGGGTATCACCAAGGGTAAGCAAAAAAAAAAGGGGGGGGCTTCCAGAATGAAGAGATTATTTGATTATTTAAACATGTCATATGTGAATTGGTTATAGGAACTAGAGAAAGGTTTAGCCAAGAGATGACTTGGGATGAAGGTGGAGGGTAAAGGGGAGGAGTTGTGATAGATATCTTTGAATATTTATTTTATTTTATTTTGGTGAGGCAATTGAGGTTAAGTGACTTGCCCAGAGTCACACAACTAGTGAGTGTTATGTGTCTGAGACCAGATTTGAACTCAGGTCCTCCTGACTCCAGAGTCGGTGCTCTATCCCCTGAGACACCTAGCTGGCCTCGATATCTTTGAATATTTAGAAGGTTATCTTATCTAATAGGCATGTAATGAGTGAATCAAGGGTACATTTGCATAAAACCCCCTTTCACTGCTGGAGATTGATTATTCAGTGCTCTATAGCTACATGTGTGCAGGCAGCTAGGTCAGGCATTGGATAAAATGCCTGAGCCTGGAGTCAAGAAGATTCATCTTTCCTAATTCAAATCTAGCCTCAGACACTTATAAACAGTGTTACCCTGGGCAAGTCACTTAACCCAATTTGCCTCAGTTTCCTCATCTGTAAAATAAGCCAGAGAAGGAAATGACCAACCACTTTAGTATCTTTGCCAAGAAAACCCCAAATGGGGTCATGAAGAGTTGGGTCTGATTAAAAACAAACGAACAACAACCTGCATGTGGGATAGAGTTGTTGAGAACTTCTTCTCAGTGTTGTTATGAGTCTCAAAGGAGATAATACTTGTGAAGTACTTTGCCAAACTTGTAAGACCTATATAAATACTATCTGTTGTTGTTAGAATTGCCTTGCTTTCTCATGGGAATGAACTTGATTCATTCAGAAGCACTGCATAGTTTTGTACTGTGCCATGAAATTTGTAGCAAGGTTTGATGGTGGCTGATGGCAAATATTTTTTTTAGGAAATAGCTTTGGAATAGTGACAAAAGGGAACTTCAGGAATTTTAGACCAGACAATAATGCAAAACCAGTGTAGGCCTGAAATTGCTGAAAGTTGAGAGAATATTATGGAATCTGACTTGCAAATACACCCAATCACTAATTCATTTGGTTTCTAATTCTCACTAAAAAAAGTTATTCTTTGGAGAAAGTCCCAGGAAAAAAAAGATTTGGAAGCCAAGGCCAGATGTTTGGTCTGAGATTTGCATAACAATACTTGGGATATAGTGATAGAAAGTGGGATGTAAATATCCCTATACAATAAGTGTCCCTCATTGCTCATAGAGATATGGACCATGGAGGTCTTTCCTATGAATGTGGTCGATTAGAATTATGGGCAGCTTGGCACGCAACAGCCTCTCCATCTGTGTGGTGATCTGGACATTAAAATAATTCTGTAGCCAAATATCTGAGAGGGTCCAGGGAAGATAGTGTCTTCGACCTTTCAAGTAAGCAAGGAGTCAGGTACAGCCAGCTGCTTCAGGATGTAACAGTGAGAAGTACCGCCTCTTAAATGAATAACCATTATCTTTCTTTTTATTGCAGGCCCTCCCCTATGTCTGTCTACTGATTGCCATGCTTTTCTTCATTTATGCCATCATTGGGATGCAGGTAAGCACAAGTTTCTTTGGGCCAGTTGTGGAAGGAAAGGTAATAGAAGGCCGCTCCCTTTAACGGAACAGCTGCTTAGTGGACACAACAAGTATGGATAGATAGTAGATCAAGCTGAAGAGCCCTAGCGCTTGTAAATTTCCTGGAAGAACCCAGTTGCATTTCATCCTTAAGAATTTTCCAGCTACATAGCTTCACTTCCCAATCACAAGAAGCAACTTATCCCACTATGACATACTTGGAGCAGTCCTTCCATGCTTGCCATTTTCCACAGAGCACAATCAATTTAATGTTAACTTGGCGTAAGGCAGAAACAAAGACAAAAATGTTTCATTTGTTTTTAACCCATAGAAAATCTTAGTATATTCAATTTAATTTGACAAATATTTATTAAGTGATGACCATGTACAAGGTTCTGTGCAAGGCATTGGGGATGCAGAGACAAAAATAAAACTGGTTCTTCAAAAGTCTTATACTCTCCTGAATATAATATGTACTTAATTATATACAAGTGTGCACAAAATAATATAATTTCAAGAATGAGAGAACCCTAACAACTAAGAAGATGGAGAAGGCATCATGTTAAGAGAAGTCACTAGAGCTATAAAATGAAAGAAGATAGGTACCCTAAGAAAGGAAAGTGAAGATGAACCAACCATCTTGCAAAGGCACAAAAGTAGAAGACAGCACGTTGTATACTGGAAATAGCTAGCTGGTCAACTTAACTGAAATGGCAAGAGCATGAAAGGGAATAATGTGAAATAAGACTGGAAAGGTAGATGGGATGTAGGTTATAGAAGTTTTTGAATGCCAGTTTTATCCTATAGGCAATGAACAGCTGCTAAAGATTTTTGAGTAGTAAAGTTACATGGTCATATTTGAGGGATCTGACCAAGAGGGCAAGAATGAATCTATAGCAATGACCAAGATTAGGAGATTCCAGGGCTCTTCTTGGTGTTTGACCAAAAACTGAGAATGTGTTCACAAACTGAAACCAAGTCTGACAGTTAGGTCATGATGAGCCAAGTTCGTATCCTATACCTCATAAGATTAGTTATTTAAAACTTCAGAAACCCATCTAATTAAACACCTTCATTTTATGTATGAGAACACTGAAATCCAAGTAGGAAAGTGCTTTGCCCAAAGTCACAAATGAATGAGTAGTACAGGTAGAATTTAAGCCTACATTCTTTAACCCACCAATCATTCCACTGCACCATGAAAGCCTCCCCAATTTAGGACTTTCAGCTTCTGCCATAAATTTCTGGGGAGAAACAAATGCCACACTCCCAGCTACTCCACCTTCAGGTATATGATATGCTGGACAGTTCCTTGGATTTCCAGACCCTTCTCATTTCCAAGTTTAGAAGACAACAGTCAGAATTTTAACTTTGATGTTTGTGTTGGTATTTGGACCACTGATTGGGGGATCAAAATGAACTTCTTCCAGCATATTAGAGCTGGTTGTTGATGAACATCTCCTGGTCTAAACTTTTAGTCTCCAGATGCCCTCTGATTAGGCCCAGCTTATTAGATTCCAAGGGCATCATAATTGTTCCAATTGAGGTGACTCCTTGAAGCAAAACTCCTCAGACTTAGAGATATTGTGACCGATTGCCCAGCAGAGAATCTCAGCCAAGTAACAACCTCCTGCAGTCTGGCTGCAGTTGAACCAAGAGCTGTCTTCTCAGTAATGATAGCCATCTGGAGCAGCCAGTGCTACGGGAATCTTCAATCTTGTCCAAAGCTTCTCTGAGAATTGTATCTGCACCTCTTAATTTCTTTCCTCCTCTGACTGATCACTGTGGTTTTGTCCTCCAAAATGCAGTCAAAGAAAGAGAAATATCTAACAGTGGAATAGGCTGCCCCAGTATTGAGCTCCCATTCATTAGGAGCATTTAAGAAGATCCTGGATGGCCATCTGTCAAGGAAACTATTGAAAGTGTTTCCCACTCTTTGAGAGGTTAAGTTAAATGACCTCAAAGGTCTTCTTTCGTCTCTATTATTGTATAATTATAGCATTAGTATTTCTTTGAACTATTAAATACAGAGCTAGCTGCATCATCTTATTGACAGGTCTAAAACAATGCATGCTTTTGCAATAGTTCTAAAAGTTTAGTCTAAACTAAAAGTCTAAACCAGGAGATTCCAAGGGCATCATAATTGTTTCAATTGAGGTGACTCCTTGAAGCAAAACTCCTCAGACTTAGAGATATTGCGACCGATTGCATCAACAACAAGCTCTATCATGCTGGAAGAAGTTCATTTTGATCCCCCAATCTGTAGTCCAGATACCAACACAAACTTCCAAGTTAAAATTCTGACTGTTGTCTTCTAAACTTGGAGATGAGAAGGGACTGGACATCCAAGGAACTGTCCAACATATCATATACCTGAAGGTGGAGTACCTGGGACATAAAATTTGTTCACAGAAAGGACAAAAAGAGATGCAGTTAGCTCTATATTTAATAGTTCAAGGAAATTTTAATCCTATAATTATACAGGTTCTTCTTAAATTTTGGTGGAAAGGCCAGGGATTCTCACCAGTTAAACAAGGGTCCATCACAGTTGTCTATTCCTTATACCCCACCCTACTTGCAAGTCCTGTGGCTCCTCATTTTGGAATGAGAGGAATGGCTTAGCAATTGTTGAGCCAAAGAGAGTTCGACACTAACAGTAGTCAATTACTTTCTGGGTCTTTAACAGCAACTACTAGTGACAAATCTTCTCAACAATTATTCATTTAGAATCCTCCACTCCTCATCAGGAAAAGTCAAGGGGCTAACATGAAAATTAAAGAGATTCAAAATAGGGGTGGGGGAAGAGGGTAGTGTTTGAGGATATGACCAAGCCAAGAAAAAATCCTAATGCAATCAAGAAATATTGTGGAGTGAAAGAATCCCAAGATAAAACTCCAAAAGTAGAGTATGAGTGTGTAATTTTGTAATAACTCTAGAAAAGAAGTATGACATGTCCACAAGGACTATGAGAATAGCTGGAAGGCCTTAAAAGGGAATTGAATGAAGAGATAAGGAGTGGAGTAGATCAGGGCTTCTTAAACTTCTTTCCACTTGTGACTCTTTTTCCATTTTGGCAGCATTCCTAGTTGTTGTGTGGCCTGAGGGCATGCACAGTGCAAAGTGCACATGCTTTATGTTCAGAACCATGGCTACAGTGTAGTTGCACTGTGCAACGCTGGCAATTGCTGCCAGAAACAACTCAGATTCATTATGCATTTGATTTTTAATTAATTTTTGGTCGTACATTCAGAAACTTTTTATTGTTCTGACCCACAGTTTAAGAAGCATGGGAATAGATAACCTAGTACAGAAACTGGAAAATTTAGCAAAGTAGTAGATACTCTGAAAAAAATAGAGGAAATAGAACTGAAATACTCAACGATGTGACAAAAATATTAGAGCAAAGTGGAAAGATAGAGAAATTAGATGACTGTGAATTCTTGACTATCAGAAACAAGTGACCTAGAATATAGGGAATGGAAAAATAATATAAGAATTTTAAAAATAATAACAAATGAACTCACAACTGATTACCACATTTTGAGAAATTTGAAAAGAAAAATGTCCCCAAGTTAGAAGACCTATGTTTTAAACATAGGTCTCACTTAAAATATGAAGTAGGGTCAGAAGTAATAAAGGAAATGAAAATTGGCAAAGAGCCATAATGATAGCAAGAATAAATGTTTTCTTAATTAATCAGCTGAGAAAAGGCACAAAGTTATCTGGTATAGGGGAAAGGGCAATGTACAGAGTACCCAAAGTCTGAATTCAGGCCCTCACTTGGACACTTCCTGATGCTGTGACTTAAGGAGGAATCATTTAACCTCTATGAGCCTTTGTTTTCTCACCTGTATAGGGGGATAATAACACTTGCACTAAGTTCCTCACTGCTGTGTTAGGAAGAAAGTGCTTTGTAAACCTTTTCATTACATAACTAACTAGTATTACTAAGAACATTACATGCAAATTGTATGATAATTTATGTCCATGCTTTCATAATGTTTTAAATATTTGGCTATGGCATTTGGTGAAGTCCAAGTGGAAATCAGTAATCTAGGCTTAAAGAATGATATATAAAAAGAAAAAAAAATTATGAATTAGAGGGGAGAGAACATACAAGGGATTAAGCTGTAGACATGAACAGAATTACATGCCAATGACATTACAGGCAATGCTGTCTGTTAGCTAACTGGATTTAGCAGTTCAGTGATATTCATTTTTTTAAAAAAATATTTATTATTTTGAAGCCCCCCCCCCCATTTTCATACTCCTCTATTCCATTTCTTAACAATTCTTATTCCTTCCCCAGCGTTGTCTAGCTTACCACCTCCGAGGCCCCTGTGGGACAAGTAGTATTTTTTTTTTTTGCAAAACAAGGTTGAGAACAAATTCTCCAAGCAGTTGTCAGTGGGAGTTATTTGAGCAAAATAGTTGGGGGCAGAAATTGTTCTTCAATTACACGTTTTGAAAACTGTTAGAGTAAAAAGCATGTTTCATTTAGCGTACTTTAGATAAACTATTTAATATACGTCAGAATGCACCAAAATGGTCTTTATTGACTGGGAAACTAAGGAAAAGGGAACTGAAAAGTTTCTCCCTGTGTAGACATGGGTCTTCATTGAACTTGGAGGCACAATTTGGTGGGATGAAACTGTCCTGGGGCCACTATATGCCACTTTTCACAATGAGACAAAATTGTGTTTTCTCTTCCTAAGCATTAGCTTCTAATCAGGTTGACTTCTCCCCTGATAATCTCTGCTTCAGGGAACTAGATTCAGCCCGATGTTCTAGCCTATCAATATATTTTGAATTTGGACTCTTGTCTGCCAGCCTATTAGCTATTCCTCTTGTATCATCGATAAATTTGATGAGAATGCTGTCTATACTTTTATCCAAGTCATTGATCAGAATATAAAACAGTGCAAAGCATAGTACAGATTCATGTGTCCCTCTACTGGAGACTTCTGAACAAGTTGACACAGAATCTTGAATGACTGTGTCATCATTTAGTGAATTCCAAACCCATCTACCTGTACTAGCTTCTAGTCCACATCTATTCAACTTGTCTGTAAGAAGAGTATGAGAGATTTTCTTACATGACTTGCTAAGAATCTAGCATTAGATTAGAATCTTAGCATTAGCTAAGAATCTAGAATAATACAAATATCTGTATTATTCCTCTGAGCTATTAGTCCAGTAATGCAGTTAAAAAAGGAAATGAGTTTCATGTGGCATGATCCATTCTTGATAAAATCATGTTGTATCTCTCTCTTCAGCCCTTTTATCACCCTACATGTTAACTAACCTTCATTTTGATAATGCATTGTAGAATGAATCTAAATCAAGCTTACTGGCTTATAGTTTTAGAATCTGTTTATTTAAAAAAATCTCTATAACCTGTATCCTTCTCCAGATCTACAACACCTCTTCAGTTTGCCAAGATAGACAGGGCTCAGGAACCCCATTTACCAGTTCTTTCAGTACCTTAGGACCTAGTCTCACTACTTCCTATTTTTGTTCTGTTATTTTTGATCCAAAGATTATTCTCCTTGGCATATAAAACACAAGCAAAATGAGAGCTGTCCATCCCTGTCTTCTCTCCACTGTAAATAATCATCCCATCCAACTTTAAGTCAGTGCTGTCTAGTCTTTGATGATTCTCCTTCTTCCCCAATGTAACTTAAAAATATGAAATTCTTAGCCTTCCTCACCAGCCTAAATTCATTCTAAGCGTTGCCCCTCCTGACTGTTCTGACATGATTATGCCATGGTTTTGTATTTATTCTCTGTCATATACCTTTTGAATTTAAGGTGGTTAATGACTTCTCTGTGTGTTTACAAAAGTCTCTTTAGATAATTTCTCAAGTCTTCATCCTCATATGACTTGTTTTTCATCGTGTCCAGAATTTTATTCTTCAGTTTTCCATCAGTCCAGGTCTGACTTCCCCTCTATGACTTCAGGGCGTGGAATCCTTCCTATTACCACATGATAATCAACCTAAACCCTTTGAAACCTGCTCTACATTTCTGACAATGTCCAACTTTCCTCTCCTCTATCACAAACTCTAGGAGACAGTGGTCAGTGTCACCCCCTTTGTCATTCCTACCCCAAGAACAGCACCTTGTACCAGTGAAATTATACACTTGAGCCAGGACTATGCAAATGGAATTATCAGTGAGAAGAATTTGAAAGTCTCCATTGACATTCAGGATTACTAAAGGCCAGCAATTCAAATGGCCTGAAAAAAAAAAACTACTGATTTATTTTTTTTAAAAGGTATGATAGGTTATAAAAATAAGTAATGGTCAATTTTATTTTTAATTGGGTTTACATGGTGTGAAATATAGGGAATAAGAAAAAGTGTGTTGTTTTCTCCCCTTTTCTGCCAGAATTATCCAGATTTTCTCCATCCTTTTACTCTGGTGCTTAGGATCATAGAATTTAGAATCAGAAGGGACATTTTGCTGATGAGAAAATTGAGGCCTAACTAAGTTAAGTGCTTGCCCAACATCTGCCAGCTAGTTAGTGAAAGAATCAGAGTTCAAACGTGGTTGGCGTTTGCATAAGGGGGTTTCCCTTATGGGTAGATATTTGGGTCTAGTAGGTACATTGTATATGTATGTATGTGTGTATATGTATATATAAATATGCACATTTATATACATAATACATATGTACATATACACATACCCACATATATAGATATCGATAGCGATCTCTATATCTTTTCATGAGGGCTCTACGTTAAGATTTTCCCAGCTCCCAAAGATTTAACTCACTACAAAAATATAAAAAGACTCAGAAAAGACATCAGATATACCTCCCCAGCCAAGTTTCCTACAAATTCTAAACTAACAACACATGTGAAACATATAGTATGACTCCAGTAAGCTTATGTGTTCTCTAGAAGCACCTGAGAGTTTTCTGCCAGCACTGAAAGTAAGAGAAGAGGGATTGCTGCCTTCCCACACATTCTCTTCATGTGGCGATATGCAGGCTGATCTGATATATGATTGTGAGGTATGCCACGCATTATAATGATTCTTACTGTTTTCTTTCACTTGCTTCCCTATCTTGGATTCTTCAGGTCTTTGGAAACATAAAATTAGATGAAGAGAGTCACATTAACCGGCATAACAACTTCCGCAGCTTTTTTGGGTCCCTCATGCTGCTCTTCAGGTACTAGGTCCATTAACATATTAATCCATGACATCTGCAATGGAGCTAGATGGATTCAGGTCTGTCTGATGCTTCCACATTCTCTTTGTTTTCTTTTTTCCCTTCTGATTTCCCCTAAATCCTGCTTCTTCCTGTTCTGGCTCTTAGTGTGGAGGTACTATTTCTGGAGTAGAGAAGGGTATCTCCCACCTTTAGGACAGTGGAAATGGGGAGGGAGGGGAGCAACTGCTTTAGTAAACAGCCAAGCAAGTCACTTAAGCTCAATGGTATGGTAATCATATTTTCTGAAACAAATTGGGATGCATGATTTAAAAAAGGAAACTCTCTTGCAAAATTTATTGAAAATATACCTTCTCTTCATAAAATTTGCAATGTCTTGGAATGTCCAGGATATATGTGTAGTCATAGTATTCAGCAGCCTTATCTGAAATTTTGGGATGAAGGGGTACTGGCTTCTCTTGAGGAGAGAAAGGAAAGTGAAAGGGAAGTAAGCCCTCAAAAAATCGAGATCTGTGTACTTACTGAACCTCACAATGCATGGCCATGATGCTAGCCAGAGTCCCACTTACTATAGAAGGAGAGGGGCTTCTTTCAAAGTCCTATCCCTAGTCAGTGGAAGCCACATCAAATAGCCACTCTAACCCAAAGAAAGATAGAAATAAGGGGTTGGGGCAGAAAGGAAAATATGAGAATCACTGTAAGTAACCCAGGTAAGTTTCATCAATCCTGACTTAGTTCTAATGAAAAGCACTAGAGGAATGCAAAGCATGATGGTCCCTATCTGGGGAGTGGGGGAAAAGGGGCAGTGAGTAGGAGAAGGAGTGGGATGAGATACATTGACTGATGCTAACAAGTGTGTCTTTTGATCCCAGGAGTGCCACAGGTGAGGCGTGGCAGGAAATTATGTTATCTTGTCTGGGAGAGAAAGGCTGCGAGCCCGATACCACTGCACCCTCAGGGCAGAATGAAAATGAACGATGTGGCACTGATCTGGCCTACTTTTACTTTGTTTCTTTCATCTTCTTCTGCTCCTTTTTGGTGAGTATCTCTCATCCTTTTTGACCTGTTGTTATTCCCAACCTCTTCCTCCTGCCTCAGATTTCCCAATCGGTAAATGAGTCTCAGAGCACCTTTTTTTTTTCTTTCTTTTGAAGACTGTTGATTTCTCTGGAGAACTGTGCCCTGTAAATACAAGATGGTGTCACCTTAAGGCAAGAGTAGAATGGTTCAGATAAACAGGCAAGACTCTCCTATGGCTCATGACATCCAGTTACATACCACACCAAAGGGTCATCTTGATAATGGTGAATGGAAGAGACTGAGTCATGTTATAGTAAATGCAGAATAACATTTGGGGAGCAGCACCATATACAGTGTTACGGCAAGCAAGAAGTGCCCTCTTAATTATTCTTTGAGTGATAGACTGTTTCAACAAACACAGTTCAGAATTTTCAATCCTAGACTATCAAATAAAATAATCAATAAATAGGAAAAACATCAAAAAGGCTGCATTAGCTTCTGAATCAGCAAAATGAGAGGGTTGGATAGAAGGTCTCTGGGATTCCTTCCAGTTCTAAATCATAGGTCAAAATATGGTCAATCTGATCATTCAGACCATTTCACTGGTCAGATAAACTACACAGCTGATGGCATTGGCTTTGCAGAAATCCAATGGCTTGAAAAAAATTACTCTCCTGGAAGATGATTGACCCCATACGGTGGCTGTGTATCATAAACTTCAAAGCTTTATTCATTACATTATTGATAATGTTCCAGGTGTTTCTATTTCTTTAAAAGACAACAACAACTTACAAGGACTAAAATTTCTCACTTTTCTTACCTATGGTGTACATGGAAGAAACAAAGTGCAATGATAAGAACACTAACCTGAAACTTAGGAAATTCGTATTCTAGGCCTGGTGCTGTTGTTAAAACTGGCACATTGGGCAAGTCATTTAGTGCTTCCCCTGGATCTATGAAATGGGGGAAGGACGGGATGCCTTCTACTTTACTGAAATAATATGAGGAAAATAAAATGCGGAAAAAATGAAGATTCTCTGAGCTTTTTGGTGGAAACATACTATGTCAATCTCTATTAACGATGTTAACACAGATTGGAAATCTGAGTTTAGATTAGTGATTCAACACTTACCAGATTTAAGAGATAGACAGATCATTTAATCTCTCTGAGCTCTGGCTTCCTTTTCTATAAAATAAAGATTATAACACATGTTTGTGTTTACTGATGTTTATTGAATTCAGGATTACAAAAAAAATTATAATTAGAATACTGAAAAAAAATTTCAAAAAATGAGGAAATTTGTAGTACCTACTTCATAAGGTTGTTGTGAAGAAATCTATTTGTGAACCTTATTATATGAGTTAATTGTACTAGTAGTTTTATAATTAGCTGCACATAGTACTATTATTACTCTATATTGTTATTAGCTTCAGAAATAGAGTGAGCATGAAAGAAATCTGTGGATGAGAAAAAAAAAACTTTAACTCAGGTAGTAGTGATCTTAACAGGCACCTAGGCAAGCAAACATAGCCAAAGCAACAAGGTGCCCACAGGGAGATACAGAAGGCATCATGTGCCAGGTTGGCCAAACCACTGCCACCACGTTGGTTACTTATTCATACCCAACTGGAGGCAGCACAGAACCCTATCGCCGTGAGCCCTAGGAATAGCAGCACCCCATAGACTAGCTGCCTAGCCTCCAGTCTAACCTCTAGAGTTTTTATTCAGGAAAGCAATCCCTATGGAAACTTGGCTAGACAAATTCTTCCTCAGTAGCCACAGCTTCTGAAGACTAGTAAAAAATTAATTCTCATCTCCAAAGTTTTTGCATTGTCGTATAAGGTATTATGAAAAGTAAGGAACAACCCTGGAACTCTATGAACACAATTACAAAACACTTTTCACACAAATAAAATCAGATCTAAATAATTGGAAAAACATCAGTTGCTCATGGGTAGGCTGAGCTAATATAATAAAAATGACAATCCTACCTAAGCTAATTTATTTATTCAGTGTCATACCAATCAAACTACCAAAAAATTATTTTATGGAGTTAGAAAAAATAATAACAAGATTCATTTGGAAAAACAAAAGGTCCAGAATATCAAAGGAACTAATGAAAAGAAATGCAGGGGAAGGTGGCTTAGCTATTCCAGATCTTAAATTGTATTATAAAGCAGCAATCATCAAAACTGCTTGGTACTGGCTAAGAAATAGGGAGGTGGATCAGTGGAATAGGTTAAATATGCAAGACACAGTAGTCAATGACTATAGTAATCTATTATTTGATAAACCCAAAGACCCAGCTTCTGGGATAAGAACCCACTCTTTGAAAAAAACTGCTGGGAAAACTGGAAAAGAGTATGGCAGAAACTAGGCATAGACCCAAATCTCACACCATATACCAAAATAAAGTCAAAATGGGTTCATGACTTGGACATAAAGGAGGATACCATAAGTAAACTGGGAGAAGAAGGAATAATTTACCTATCAGATCTATGGAGAACAGAAGAATTCATGACCAAACAGGAGATAGAGAACATTATGAAAAGAAATGGATAATTTTGATTACATTAAATTGAAAAGTTTTTGCACAAACAAAGCCAATGCAACTAAGATTAGAAGGAAGGTAGAAAATTGGGAAAGAATTTTTACAACCAGTCTCTCTGATAAAGGCCTCATTTCTAAAATATATAGAGAATTAAGACAAATTTATAAGAACACAAGCCATTCCCCAATTGATAAGTGGTCAAAGGATATGAACAGCAGTTCTCAGATGAAGAAATTAAAGCCATCTATAGTCATATGAAAAAATGCTCTAAATGTTATTGATTAGAGAAATGCAAATCAAAACAACTCTGAGTACCACATCACACCTATCAGATTGGCCAACATGACAAACAGGAAAATGATAAATGTTGGAGAAGATGTGGGAAAATTGGAACACTAATACATTGTTGGTGGAGTTGTGAAATGATCCAACCATTTTGGAGAACAATTTGGAACTATGCCCAAAGGGCTACAAAAATGTGCATACCCTTTGATCCAGCAATAGCACTTCTAGGGCTATATCCCAAAGAGATCAAACAAATGGGAAAAGGACCCACATGTACAAAAATATTCATAGCAGCTCTTTTTGTGGTGGCAAAGAATTGGAAATTGAGAGGATGCCCATCAATTGGGGAATGGCTGAGCAAGTTGTGGTATATGAATGTAATGGAATACTATTGTTATATAAGAAATGATGAACAGGCTGACTTCAGAAAAACCTGGGAAGACTTATATATATAGTCTGCTGCTGAATGAAGTGAGCAGAACCAAGAGGACTTTGTACACAATAACAGCCACGTTATGCAATGATTAAGATTGTTAAACTGAACCTTTCTCAGCATTACGAGGATCTAAGACATCTCCAGAGGCCTTGGGATGGAAAAAGCTGTCCACATCCAAAGAAAGAACTATGGAAGTCGAATCGCTATCACTTATTTTTACCTTCTGTTGAGTTTTGTCTCATCTTTCTGATGGTTCCTCCTATTGGTTTTAATTTTTACTTACAACATCACTAATGTGAAAATATGTTTAATGGGTATGTAAATGTAAAGCCTATGTCAGATTGTGCACCGTCTTGGGGAGGATGGGGGGGAGAAAAATTTTCAACTCAAAAGGATATGGAAGTGATTGTTAATAAATCAAAATAAATTAATAAAATTTTTTAAAAAGTAAGGAGCAGATATGCTATTATTATTGGGAATGACATTAGCTAGGTAGTGTGATAGATAAATGTTTCACTTGAAGTCAGGAAAACCTGAGTTCAAATTTTGCCTCAGATGCTGACTAACTGTGTGACCTTGGGGAGAGGCATTTAATCTTTTAGACTCAGTTTCCTCATCTGTAAAATGGGGGAAATTATAGCACTATCTCACACAGGAATGTTATAAAGATATGAGATAATATAGGTCAAGCACTTTATAAACCTTAAAGTGCTATATAAATCCTATGTAGTATCATTATTGAGGAGGACATATTGCCATCTTCATTGCTGTTTTCCCTAAAGACCACTGGGAATTTCTGTCTTTCCTACAGTTGTGTCCTCCTATCTGTGTTTTTCCCCCTAGTAGAGTGTAAGGTCCTTGAGAGCTGGAACTGTCTTGCTCTTCTGTTTGTATTCTAAATATTTATCAGAGTGCTTTTGTTCCCTATTGGTCAATGGGAGCTGGATCCAGCAAGGCTTGGAGAGACTGGAACGCCTGTCTCACCTGATACGCTACACCTGTAGCTGTTGTTCTCTCATCGGCAATTAATTAAATAGACATGACTGAAGAACATTTTGTAATATCCAAGTGTCATTGAAATGTGAAATAATAATGCCCATATAATGATAGTGATGGTACAAATAATGAAGATGCTTAGGATGCCGCAATTTCAGCAGGAAATGAGGGCATCACAGATCCTATCTATCTTTCACCTTGCGATCCTTTTTCTTCCTCCTCTGACTCCCCATTTTGTCTTTGGTCTCCAGATGCTTAACCTGTTTGTGGCTGTCATCATGGACAATTTTGAGTACCTGACCCGGGACTCATCTATCCTCGGGCCTCATCACTTGGATGAATTTGTCCGAGTCTGGGCAGAGTATGATCGAGCTGCATGGTATGTATACCTCACCATTACCTCCCTGACTTCCAGTGGGGCCCAGGTTGGAGCCCGCTGGTTGACCATACCAGGAGTACTCAGGAAAGAGGATGGAATTGGAGCTCTTCTCAAATGTGTGCCTATCACAGGAGGAGAGAAGGCCTTCATTTTGGACCTTGTGAAGGTCAACAGTTCCCTTGGAAGCCTAGATCAGGCCAGTCTCAAAGATTTCTCTCTTGCCTCCTCTTTCCCTCTGTGAGAGGTTTTTTTTACTTTTTAGCAAATAGCTAGAAAACTTTCACTATGCTCTCCCTCCCTCCTCTCCTCCAATGAGTCATTAGTTGACCTGTTTTGAATGACCTGAGACACTGATAGGAGTTTTCTAGGGGAATCAGACACCTGACTACTATGATCAGTGGCTGTAGGGAGTTGTCTCCTGCCTCACAACTTCCCAAAGTATCTGGCTTTGAGATAACTCATGAATTATATAGAGACTAGGCAAATTCATCTTCCTGTTATTCCCATAAATACTAATTGACAAGAACTGAATTGAGGGTTTCCTCATTCCTGGGGACAAAAGCTAACTGCTTTTTGTTTTGTCTCCTGGCAGGACCTTCATAGGGATATCTTCCCTGAACATTTTCATTGCCTAGAATCCTAGGGCTTAAACCGCAGAATGGGATGCAATAGGACAGTGATTCTGTCTTTAGTGTTAGGGATAATAACTGTTCTCATGGGCTTTTAAGCCTACAATTGTTTGCACTTTATGTTACTTCCCCAACCTTTGTCTATACTGACCACTGTTCTTCAATATTAGTAGTGCTACAAAGCATTGCCATATGTCATAGGAAAGGGCCACGTTGCTTCCACCTAGGACTCTCCTTTGGAGTTTATTTCAACTCAGCAGAATTTTTCCTCCTTAAAGTCTAATCATTAATGACCTGGGCTACAGAATCCTCTAATGTCTTGCCTATCACAATGGAGGAATCTCCCTTTCTGTCTGGGGCTGCTCTATGATGAATGACCTTCTTGGAGATAATAGGCATTCGTTAAATGTGGAGCATAGCTGGAACAGTCTCTTACATTGTCTTTCCCTGGTTATGCGGTGAGTCCACTATGGTTGTAAAGCAAGGAAAGTGGAGGAAGGGAGAGACACCCAACGGGTGAAAAGGAGGATATAGCACCTGTCATGCTAGAGAGAAGAGGCTTCAGGATCTCCGTGCCACCAGTTACTCTTTCCCTATCCTTCACATGCGGAAGAGCCTCATACATATCCACTTTGTCTCAGATGTCTTCCTGGCTTGGAGATCTCATCCTCTGATTTTTTTTTTTTGTATTATCTTTGGATTCAAATGCCACACAGGGTTTGGATATTCTTGTCTCCTCACTCCAACTGCTAGGAAAAGTAGAAAGCATGGAAACAAGTCCAGATGAATCAGGAGGTATTCTTGGAAAGAAGAAAGGAAGGCTCTCCATATCTATCCTAAAATCCTGGATATGACCCAAAACATACCTGTTGTCATCATAGCTTCATTCTGAAGAGATGGTAGAGGAATGATCCAGTTGGAATCAGCCAGAATGAAGACAATTTCCAGGTTCTCTTAGAAACATAAGCCCAAAGGAACCACGATTACCCCAGAACTTCATAGACAGAGAACCTACTGAGAAGGTGACCTCTAAAGCAACTTCCTAAAAGGACAGGAGGAATCTACCTTAAAAAAAGAAGGGAGAGTTGAAAGGAAGATCCTTTGGCTAAGGTTCTCTTCTGAGCATGAGATGAGGGAAAGGTACGAGAGAGCCCTGGAGAACATGGAGAACTTGAAACAATAATAATAGGTGACCAGAGCTTACAAAGCTCTGCATTCTCACTTAATCATCCACATAACTCCTTGAGGTAGGGAGGTAGTAGAAAGGAGGCGGTATGCTATTGTGGTAGGAGCACTCTGTGTGGAGTGAGAAGACCATGGTGCAAGCCATGGCTCTGACACTTGACTGTGTGACCATTAGGGAAATCACTTCAACCTCAGGCTCCTCATCTGTAAAATTGGGGCAATAATATCACCCACCTCTTGGGTTCAGTTTGAGGAAATGTTCTGTAAACTTCAAAGCACTCTGTAAATGTGATATCACTATTGCTTCCTTTTTGCAGATAAAGAAACAGAGCCACAGGGAGATAAAGGGATTTGTCCAAGATCACACAACTAGTCAATGGAGGAGCTGGATTTATGTTTCCAGATTCAATACTCTTCCCACTATACAACAGCTGTTTTATTGGGCTAATTAGGTTCATAATTGCTGAAGGAAACTTCTGATGTAAATTGGAATCCACCTAGATTGGAAAGTTGATGACTGGCTGTCTGCTGGCATGGCCTTTAACAAGATAGGGACTTATAGCCACTAAAAATATACAATCTGTACATGGTTCTCTGCTTTCCCTAGGGAGCCACAACTCTCTAGTAGGCCCAGGTGAAGGTGGCGGCCAAGAGAGGTCAGGTTCCTCTTGAGACTCCGGATAGTTCTTGTTAAACATCTGAAAGGTCATAGAATTTAAGGGTATTTGAAAATTATTGCCACTGAGGTAGTTTTGAAACATGGAGTAAGGGAGCTTCCTGGATTTATTTGAAAAGGAGCTTATTCAATCTGAAACATGGGGGGGGGGGGAAGCTTTCACACAGAGAACAAAGACTGTCTGTCTAGAAGATGCTTCATGCCAATTGTGTCCCCTGCCAATTCACCTAATGGGAAATGTGTCTCCTATAGGCCTGGAGAAAGATACTGATTCTTTGCTGCCTGCACCCAGCCCTTGACGAGCATATCTGAGCAACTGAATGTAAAATGATGTCTGAGAAAAAACAAACAGAAGAACAGCCCATTTTCTTATCAGCTTGACATCTATTTTTGGCAGCTGTCAAAGGCATTTGTTAGCTAATAAGCTTGAGATCTTAGAGATCTGACACAGATCAGAGTTGAGTTTATGCATCTGTCCAGGTGTGGTACTTTGCAGGGCCCTAGACAACTTCAGTCAGTGCAGCTTCTGTTGATGTTAGATGGGTTTTGATCTGCCTAGGAGTTTGAGTTACCTTTACTTTGGCAAGCAAGGTACTGCTTGTGTTTTGATGGTGATTAGAATCAGTCCTATAGGATCTGGAATTTCTGGAGTCCAAGGAAAGGAGACAGTGACCCTTGGGGTACCTTCTGGAATGGGCACTGGTCACACAACTCCTTAATAAATAAGCTATCATTTCCTCACCTCCATTCTCTGAGTGTCCTATTAACCCACCTGTGCTTCCTTTACAGCGGCAGGATCCTGTATAAGGATATGTACAAATTAGTACGGGTGATCTCGCCTCCTCTGGGCCTGGGAGAGAACTGCCCCTACAGGGTGGCGTGCAAGGTTTGCCTCCCAGTCCCCAGCCATGACCCGGTGATGGGACACAACATTTAACCCTTCCTTTTCCTCCTCTGCTCCACCACCACTGCGCCACACAAATGAACCCTCATGTTGCTTTCCTTTGAGTTTAAAGAGGTCCAAACCCTCCCAGAACCAGCAGCTGTTACATTTGAAAGAGGGGCACAGGGATAATATTTGGGGAGAATGGTAAAAGGTAAATACTGAAAACATTTTAAGCTACTCCTCTCTCTCTCTCTCTCTCTCTCTCTCTCTCTCTCTCTCTCTCTCTCTCTCTCTCTCTCTCTCTCTCCCTCTCTTCCTCTCTCTCCCTCTCCCTCCCTCCCTCCCTTTCTCCCTCTCTCCCTCTCTCCCTCTCTCTCCTCCTCCCTCCCTCCCTCCCTCCCTCATTCCCTCTCCCTCTCCCTCTCCCCCTCCTCTTTCTCCCACATGCAAACACTGCTCCATGTAGTGTAGATATGACCAGAATGACTCCTCCCTCTTGTATAGCTTATAGAACTCACAACATCCCAGCACGGGTCATCTGAATTTCCTGAACTGGGCACAGACAGATTCTATATGTTCACCAAACTGGCATCCTACCAAAACTTAAAGCATATTCCAGATGACTTTTTTCACTCTGCCTAGTGGCCCCTGAATAGGTGAGCACATAACCTTTTAGGCCTGAGTAGACCACCAAAGGCGAAAGTGGGCAGAAGTCTTCTTACTTCAGATGCTGTGGTCTTTCTAGAGCTGCCTTCCTGGGATGACTAGGTTTATAAAAGACACCTTTAGGACTATCAGTGAGGAACGATGAAAGCAGATGGTAGGGAAAGGACACAGACCCCAGAGTTCAGCAAAGCAGAAATGGTGGTGACAATGGTGATTGGAATGTGCTTCTAATACAGCAATTATCTGAGAAGTTCACAGTGAATGGTGTTGTTCTAGCAAAAGGTTCAACCAAATGGTTCTTTAAAAGGTTCCTAGCCTGAGGGTCCTGACATAGTATGTTGTGAAATGCCTGTGGGATCTGGGAATGTGGGACTGAGCAGGCCATCAGGTCTGCCAAGCCACTGTCTGGGAATCCAAAATGAGAGCACTGCTGGGGTATGAGGCCTTCTCCTTGCAAACCTGCTTTATACTCACCAGTTCCCAATTACCGAACTACTTCAGCCTGCCTGGTATGGAAAGGTCTTCAAAGTGCTGCAGGAAGGTGGGTGTGGGGCTCACTGAGATATAGCCCGCCATTTTAGAGGCAGCCAGAAGAAGGACGCAGGAGGAAGGAGCAAGGAAGGACACCGACTTGGGTGATGGGGAGGAGATGTCATGGGATGGGGACGCAGTGATTCCCACACTCAGAAGGCCAAACAGCTGCCTCTGCTGAGACTCTTTAAACTCCAACCTGGTGGAACCTGCGATCGCATGTCGGGGAGAGCTGGGGAGGGAAGCATGGCATGTGAGATGCTCTTCCTTCCCCTGGTTTTGTTTCTTCCATCTCCAGCATGCCATTGCACTGGTGCATGCTGGGGAAAAGCACTCCATACACAGAGCCAGGTGGAAGCAACCGGGCCAACTCCTTTGACAAGCAACCACAGCCCACCACCTTCTATGCAAGATGCTATCTTCTATTGCATAGACACCATAGAGGGGGGGATACACGATGTTCTGGCTATGGGATAAAGGGACAAAGGCATATCTGGTGTCCGGACTAGCGGAAACCATGGAGGGCCCTGATCTTAATGGGGCCGGTGATTCCCAGAGGAATCCTGGCTTCTACATTCTTCATCACCCATGGCTTGAGCACCGTCTATCCAGTTTATACCACTCTCACACAGCCCTGGGAAGTGAAAAAACAAACAAAAAACCTATTTTTTTTTGAGGGAGTTGATCAGGATGACATGGAGTGATGCTGAAACAAGAGTAGAAGCCAATTCCTTGAGAGATGGGAGAAGGGGGATGGAAGGCTCATACTGATGTTCCCGGGTCTGTGTGGGGTGTGATATAAATCCATACCAGGATGGACTCACGTGTATGATTTGCCTTGATTAACAGGTTTCCTGTTCTTTTTCTGTTTGTCCATTTTTTTTTATTTTGTCTCTTTCTTCTCTTGTTTCCTGTATTATTATTTTGTTTGTTGCTCTCTGGGAATGCCTCTCTTCCTCTCGTTTCTCTCTGCATCCTTCTCCCCACTCCTTCTCTTTCCCTCAATCCTTTCCAATCTCCTATCTCATTTTCCCACCCCTCCATGAGCAGTGGCCGCATCCATTACACTGAGATGTATGAAATGCTGACTCTCATGTCACCACCGCTAGGCCTCGGCAAGAGATGTCCCTCCAAAGTGGCGTATAAGGTAGATCAACCCTTCCTTCCTTTGGGCTAGAGATGAGCAAGAAATGGGATCCAATGGTGGGGAGGCCTGAAAATGGGGAGGACCTTGGGATGGGGAGGTGGAGGTGGGAACTGAAGGAGAGGGAAATGAGAAGAATACTGAAGACATAGAAAGGCTCATGGAGGAACGATTTCTCCAGTCACTACAGGAAGGGTATGGACCTATTATTCACAGTTCTTCAAGTATATGTGTGTACATGTGTGTGAGATTTTCTTTTAATGGTTTACTAGAAAGGCAATACTGAGGATGTAGCATATTCCCATTTCAAGTAAGCAGAACACTGAAGAGCTGTGGGACAGTAAAAAAGGACAAGATGAAAGCCTACAGCAGAATATCCTTTAGAACTGAAGGCAAGAGATATATCTTAAATTAACCTAGGAAATGAGTGAGATCCTTTAAGCAGGTCTGGGAGATATTTCACTCCCCTTTGCTGAACAGTGAGAAGGAACTATTTCTTCCTCCCTCACATAAGGAAGGTATCTTGTGCCTCATTATAGAATCAAGAATGCAAGTTGTCAAATTTCTTGGAAATATCTAAAGGAAGGAATGATGAGAAAAGGCTGTAGACTAGAGGAGTTTGAAAGACTAGCACTCTTGTAAGATGAACGGTCACTATCCTCCCAAAAAAGTCATCTCAGACAGATGAGATCAAGTCTAAGAGTCATGAAATTCCTCATAGGTTGCTGAGATAAATAATAGACAGTGGAACTGACAACATCAGGATGCCTTAAATCCTTGAGACTGAGCAATTACCACTGCATGATATTAGCTTCCTTTTAGAAAGATGTTTGCAGTATGTGTGCTTTTCTCAAAGCATTGAAGTTGAGGAAGCTAATGATTAAAGAGATTCCATGACTTTCCTGTAGTCACACAATGCAGTGGAAAGTGATAAATTTGGAGTCAGACTTTGAATACCAGTCCTTTTACATCCTCCTTGTGTGGCAAATCATTGAATCTCTCTGGGCCTCCATTCCCTCATCTTTAAATAAGAGCATTGCGTTAGATAATCTCTAAAGACCTTTCTAACTCTAGATTGAATGATACTACCTGTGATCATGAACCAGGCCTTAAACCCAGGTATTCTGACTTCAGATTGAGTGTTCTTCCTACTGCACTACTTAACGTATCACATTAAATTGGCCCCATAATGCTGGAACCTTTCTATTAACTTAGAAATACACCAAGGTTATGTTCTCCTTGCCGTGAATACTGAATGTGTGCTGGAATTATAAAGAGAGGCTAGGATTTTTCAAGTCAAAACTAGAAATAGGATCTGTGCTGCAAGACATAATGGCTAATGGAATCATTCTAGGTTGGATGTTGCATTGAGCTGTTGCAAACACTCACCTTACCACCCTGCCCTGCTAGTGTTTCTGCTGACAGCCCCATTCCTTGTCTTAATAGCTAAGTTCCCCAGCTCTGGGAGTAAGCAAATCAGAATGAGGATGTAGATTTCACTTTTAAAGTTCTGTTCTGCTTCCAAGGACCCATTTAGGCAGCTGCTCATACAACCCCTAACCCATGGCTCCTCACACATATGTCATGGTGTGGTAGCCTCTTCATTCAAATAAATCCCAGAGTTTTGAGTGCGTAGTACTCAAGTATGATGCTGTGAGTTTTGGGGAATGAGAAGTAAAGGAGAAGAGGGTATGGAGGGTAGAGGGGACTGGTGAAAAAGCTAGAAGAATATGAAAAACAAGATACTCTCTGGAAAGTGGATTTGGCCATTTCAGTTTGATCCCTTCCTTTGGGCAAAGGGAACAAGGCCTTCCCACTCCTGTCCCTGCTTTTGTCATCCTTCTCTCTCTCTCTCTCTCTCTCTCTCTCTCTCTCTCTCTCTCTCTCTCTCTCTCTCTCTCTCTCTCTCTCTCTCTCTCTCTCTCTCTCTCTCTCTCTCTCTCTCTTTCTTTCTGCCTCTAGCTCTTCCTCCATCCTTACTATCCTTTCCCCTAGATCCCGTTTGCGCTCTTTCTTCCATCTTCCCCTCCCCACTCTTCCATCTGACTCTACCCCTCCTTTGAATAAGTTGGACTTCTGCATGTATGATCATGTGCTGGCAAATTTCATCTCAAAGACTCAAAAAGGAGGCGCCAGGATTTGTCATTCTAGACAGATGAGCAAAACAAAGTCTCCCTCCTACCCTTTCCTGCTCCCAACAGAGTTCAGGGGGATTAGCAGGGGCAAGTGGGAAGCTGGGGCTGCCTTAAAATAGGAAAAGGAGCCAACTCATGCAGCTGGCTCCTCTCTCCCTTCCCTCCCATCCCAACTTCCCCTAGCCACTCCCATCAGAAATGAATTCCCATCCCTAACAGATATTCTTGGGACTTTGAGGGATTCTTACAGAAAGACTAGGGAACCCCCTTGCCAGGGAACTTCCCTTGGGATGTGGCTTCATTACCTGCTGAAGAGTGAGGAGGGGGAGAAAGCCCTCAGGACACGAGCAGGTAAGGGAAGGGAAGAGAGAGGCTTGGCGGGTGTGGGGTGGGCAATCCTTGCCCTTCTTTTTCGTCTATGCCATTTGACCTTCTCTGCACTCTTCCTCTCACCTCACCAACGGATCTTTCGCTATTTTTTTTGCCTGCTGTCTTTTTCCTCTCTCTTTCACACAGAGATTGGTCCTGATGAACATGCCAGTAGCTGAGGACATGACTGTCCATTTCACTTCCACACTAATGGCCCTAATTCGGACAGCTCTGGACATCAAGATTGCAAAAGGTAAAGAAGGGAAACACAGAGAAGAATTTCAGTATTATTTATGCAGAATAGCATTCACTAGAAGATAAGGATTTTCTCCACCAGGATGATATTGTAACAACAACAGGTACTGGTAATTGTACTGGTAGTATGAGGTAGTGCTGGGCTGGGAATCATCTGATGTGGGCTCTTCAGCCAAACAGCTGTGTCAGGTTAGGGAAGTCATTTTACTTTTAATGGGCCTCAGTTTCCTCATCCATAAGCTGGTGGTATTGGACTAAATGGACCATGAACCCTTCTACTTCTAACATTCTGGGATTCTAATAACACCAATATTTTATTTAGTGCTTTTGATCCAAAGGTTTCAGAAAGCTTTGGAAATGCTAACTGGTAGTAGGTATAGTTATCTCCATTTTACAGTTGGAGAAACTGAGGCCCAGACATATTTAAGTGATTCATCCATGGAAAGTTATTGAATCAATTCTGAAGTTGAGACAAAGGCATGCTCTCCTGACTTCTAATCCTTTGCCTGATCTGTTAGACCTTATCATTCAGTATGTAGGAAAATTCATTTGATAGGGATGTGTAGAGTGAATGGGAGGGAAGAGATGCTTGGAGGCAGGCATACTAGTTAGGAGGCTATTCAGGCAAATGGGAATGAGTTCTTGAACTAAGGTGTGTGTGTCACTAATGGGGATGGAGAATGGGGCAATCTCACTTAAGAGTATAAACAACAGGACGATATATAGTATACTAAAAAGAATGTTGGTGAAAGTGAAATATGAGAAACTAGGACTCGAACCTGGTTTTGCTATTTACTGCCTGGGTAGCCTTGGGCATATCAATTCATCTCTATGGACCTCAGTTTCTTTTTTTCTATAAAATGAAAAGATTGGGCAAGATCATCTCCAACATCCCCTTGTCATCGCTCATTTGCCTTTCTTTGACCACTTAAATTCCAAAGCAATAACTGCTAGAGTTCTGAGATGAATGTACAAAATCTTTGAGGAAAAACAGATAAAATCTGTTGCTCTCCACTGGAGATCTGGTTTGAATGAGTTTACCTTAAGTTAAGGGCCAAGTGAAGGCATGACGTGGGTGGCACTAAACACCTGCACCCTATGTTCAACTATTAAAGATTGAGAAAGGTGCTAGTTTTTATCATGGCTTCCTGGTTTTGCCAGATGTTAATCCATTTTTTTTTAAAAAAGGACACACATAATATGGGGTGACAATAATGCTTCAGTTAAGTGAAAGGACATGCACACCTCTAATGAGATATAAAGGCTTATAGGTAAAAAGGGGGGACTCTATAATATTTGAGGGTTCTATCCTTTAGCTTCTTTTGCTTCATTTTTCTTCCCCAGTAGACTGAGCCATTAAGGAGAGACTAGAACATCCAGATCTTTAGGGCCTCTGCATTATGAAGTAGGATATCCCTGAGTCATTGGAAATGAGATTAAAAATGTATTCTACCATGGTGGCAGACAGACCTTGGTGCCACTCAATGTCAAGAACTATTCTTGTGGTATAAAGTGCCATGTTGATTCACCTCCTGCCCCATCTACTCACTTTGGGGCCCTTGTCACTCCTCAGGCATCAGCATCTATTCTCTTTTTTAAGTATAATTCAGTGGATCTATGAGGAACTTCTCCAACCCACCCATGCCTTCACATCCTGTGCTATTCTTGTCTCTGTCTTCCCCTATATTGTCCATAAGGAGTTCTCTCGACCTGCTGGGGGCCTTATGCTAGATCCCTTGTCATTGCATGGATACCAATGAAGTACCAGGTTAGCCATCAATTGGCTGTCATTCTTACTTCATATTTTGATTATTTATAGTTCATTTGTTTCATTGTAGGTGGTGCAGACAGGCAGCAGCTAGATTCAGAGCTGCAAAAGGAGACCCTGGCTATCTGGCCTCATCTTTCCCAGAAGATGCTGGATTTGCTTGTACCCATGCCAAAAGGTGTGGGATCTGCTCCTGGGGTACCCTTTTCATTGTGTTTCCATCATTCAAGCAAAGCACTCAGGGAAGAAAAAAAATCCTATTACTTTAGTTTGGGATGACAAAGATATTGAGAAGATGATCTTTTCAGTTAATAGGCAATAAAGATTTCCCGTTCTCTTAGTCCAGTAAGTTGAGGTCATCTTTCTTAAGGAAGGGCATTATGAATAGAAATGAAATTACAGAAGGAAATTCCCTAACTGTAAAGGCTTTCTTTTATCATTTAACACATATGATGATGTATCAATTTAAACATTGGACACATTCCTAATAGGAAAACACTTTGAAAGAAAAATAGTACATAGACATACACTGAAAAATAATACCAATTTATAGACTATGTCCCATATTTATACAAAGCAGATTTTGGGGAAAGTGAAGCCTATATTAGAATCAATATGGCATTATTTCAACAATCTTTTGTATAATTGACAAAAATATCTTGCTGCTTTGATGTGGAAATTAGTGAATAGCATTCATTAAGTTCTTCAGTCCCTGTGCTTCAGGAGCCTACATTCCATGTGGGAGATAATACATCTGGGGGGAGTGGTAGCTAAGGAAAAAGTGTTTTGCTCTGAAGAGTCACAGAGATGGATATTGGTTCCATGGGACAGTCAGTTGAACAGTCCTTTCCAGAAGCGATGGCAAGCTGACTTGATTACTATTCTCAGAGGAAAATGTTCTTAAGAAGATGGCCAGGGTGATGCCTGCTTGGGCTTGGAGACTGGCTAGATAGAATGGGCTCTCACCAAAGAAGACAGCACGACCCCTGGGCAGGACTTTCAAAGCTAAGTGGCTTAACCTTTCCAGGGTGTGGTTACTGGAGGTCTGACTCCAGCAGCAAACACATCAAAGAAACCAAATAAACATGGTGGCATTATCATTAGCATGTCTGTAACATATTAGATGTCATGATCCCATTTATGATATAGAACTCTACAGAAATGCAGTTATTGTGAAGCGGTTTATGAAGCTTGTGAAATTCTCCTACCACTGTGTCTCTGTTGTCTTCTCACTGTTAACATCTAAGTCACCTTCTGTTTCCAGCCTCAGACTTGACAGTTGGGAAAATATATGCAGCCATGATGATCATGGACTATTACAAGCAAAGCAAAGTAAAGAAGCAGAGACAGCAGCTAGAAGAACAGGTGAGTCAAACATAGATATCTGTACAGGCTGTGAGCAAGCACACAAGGGATGAAAGAAGTCACTTGACCTTTTCCATGGGAATACAAAGTAAATCCACAATGAAAACTGCCTGTTGCATGGAGCTAGCCATGAGAGTGATTAAATCACTGGAACATAAGGGCATAAACCCCTGGAAATGAGTAGAATCCGAAGGCTCAGAGGAAAAGTCAAAGAACGTTAAGATACATGGAGGATGTCCAAAAGCCCGGTGCCAAGGAATCAGTAACAATGAATCCCACTTCTTCGGCCATGATAGTTAATTAGGCTAGTGGGTGGGTGTTTCAGTTGGTGAGAAAAAGATCAAGGGGAGGAGAAAACTAACTCTTTTTTAAAAAATTCTGCTCTAGGACATTTCCCAAATACCTTAGATATGGAAAGAACATTTAAATGGTTTCTTTCTTATTCCTTTTCCTTTTCTGCCCAGAAAAATGCTCCCATGTTCCAGAGAATGGAGCCTTCATCTTTGCCTCAGGAGATCATTTCTAATGCCAAAGCCCTGCCTTACCTCCAGCAGGACACCCTTTCAGGCCTGTGAGTAGAGTAGCTGTCATATGTTTTATTTTTTCCCCACCCATTCCATTGTGAAGTTCTCTGAATATATTGTACTAAAGATGCCAAAAAAGTCAAATTAAATCAAAGAAGAATGAATTCTTTTTCTATGGACTTAGAAAGCAAACTTCAAGATCTCAAAATACTTATCAGTGTGATAGGGAAAATTACCAAGTAGATTTAATGCTATTGCCAGTTTCTCTGGAAGCAGAAAGAATTGGCACACTAATTTTTTAATTGGAGCCCTGACTATCATTCTGTAATAGTTTGTTTTTAGGTTAAGATTCTATGCTTTGGTTATAACTTATATTAAAAAAAAATCAGTGAAGGGCAGCTAGGTGGCGCAGTGGATAGAGCACTGGCCCTGAAGTCAGGAGGATCTAAGTTCAAATCCTGTCTCAGACCAGACACTTGGCACTTACTAGCTGTGTGACCCTGGGCAAGTCACTTAACCCCAATTGCCTCACCAAAAACAAAACAAGAAAAAAATCAGTGAAGCAGCAAGGTGGAAAAGTATTGGAAGTCATTGTACCTGAGTTCTTTGTTGTTGTTAGTGGTGGTAATGTTTTGTTGTTTCAGTTACATCCAACTCTTTGTAACCCCATTTGGGGTTTTCTTGGCAAAGATACTGGAGAGGTTTGCCATTCCCTTCTCCAGTTTGTTTTGCAGATGAGGAAACTGAGGCAAAAGGGTTAAGTGACTTGCCCAGGGTCACACAGCTAGGAAGTATCTGAGGCTGGATATAAACTCAAGAGGAGGAGTTTCCTGACTCCCAACCTGGCACTCTACCTACTGTGCCACCTAGTTATTCTTTGTCTAGCTCTGTTACAAATTATAAGTGCAATTGTGAACAAATCACTTAGCCCGTATGTGCCTCGGTTTTGTTTATCTGTTCTTTTTTTAAATCCAGACACTGATTGATTACAGATCAGAGGCTCTTTAAGGTTTCTTAAAAACGCTATAAAAGTAGTTGGATAAGCTAGGTAGCTCAGTGGATAGAGCACCAGGCCTCAAGTCAGAAAGACATAAGCTTAAATTTGACTTCAGAGACTTACTGCTTATGTGATTCTGGGCAGGTCCCTTAAACTCTGCCTTGGTTTCTTCATCTGTAAAATGAAGATAATAATAAAATGGGGATAACAACACCCGCCTTCCAGGTTGTTGTGGGGATCAATTGAAATAATAGTTGTGAAGCACTTAGACCACTGCCTGGCACATAGTAAGTGCTATGTAAGTATTAGCTATTGTTAATATTATTATTATTATGGTTCTAATACCCAGTGAGGAAATACACGGTCCCTAGTTGACAAGCTTTCACGAATCAAACGAACCCATTAAAAGAATTGTATTTCAAACAATTAGCTCATTTGTAAGATCAAACATCCAGATCTAGAAAGGTCCTTAGGAATCCTTTATGATCCCAACCTACTCATTTTACAGCTCAGGATGCGGAGGCCAAGGGAGGTTAAATGATGCGCTTAAGGCCACACAGGTAGCGATTGGTAACATGGAGATTGTTACTAAGGTTCTATGACTGGTTCAAAACTCTTCCCCCTGCACCAGGCTGCCTTCTGATAGGTAATAAAGGAAGCTTAAAAAACAGTCCTAGTTAATGAATTTAAAAGCACCATAGTATTGTGGAAAGAACACTGGTTCTCCAGTAGAAGGACCTGAGTTCAAATCCTTCCTCTGACCTCATCTATATGGCATTGGACAAGTCACAAGAGTCTGTAAAATAAAAGAGCTAGATTAGATGACCTCTTAGGTCCTTTCGGGTCTAATCTAAGGTTCTATGAGCCTATGATTTTCTCATACTTATTTCATGGTCCCAGATGTTAGACTGCTTCATCTTTAGCTGTGGACGCTACTAATTTTAATATGCTTTTCTTTCCTTTGTCTTAAATGAAATGCCTCCCTACTATCAACCAATTCTTTGGAACCTCTGGGTACGTGCTATGGAAGGGTTTTCTTGTTTGTTTTAGTTAAATATGGTCCCATTTCTATTGGAACCTGCAATCTCCATCCAAACTGCCCTGCATACTGGTACAGTATGTCTTTATTGTAGTCTTCTTTGTCCTCCAACGCTGTCAGAATGCCATTGCTACTAGTTTGGGAACTGGGAGCCAAGGAGGAACTCAAGTAAAGCAGATCTAGATGCCGGGGGAAAGAGTGAAGAAAGAGGAAAAGAGAGGAAGGAGTTAGGTTTGAGCCTTGTTTGTTCTTTTTATTTTAAGAAGGTTTGAAAGTCAATATTTTGTAGACCAGTAAAAATCTCTCAAGGACCAGGGCCGATCCAAGAAAGGCCAGTGGAGAAACATAGTTTTGAATGATGACAGTACCGCAGAAGCCACCTGGGCAGACCGCCATTATTCTGAACGTTGCATTTGTTTTAACGTTCTCAATTGTTTTTGTTTTGCTTTTGCTGCCTCTTAAGACTATTCTCCTTTAAAAGGGAAAGAGAGAAAAAGGCCTATGACTAATAAACTCACACAGTGATCACTTAATCAGCCCTGTGCAGAGCGAGGCATCACACCCCCCTCTGACAAGCACTGTTTGAGAATTGTTGCTCACCTGTAACAAGTAACAGGTTATCTCACCTAAGCGCAGAAGTGGTCATGTGACTAGAGTAATATGGATATCACCTCTCCACAAGAGCTCATGGGACTCCAAGCCCTCCCTGTCTAGACTTCTGGTTATCTCATCACCTTTTTCTGTGAGAGTTAACTTACCCAGCAGAATCTCTTTAGCCTATTTCCCATGAATTTACCTGCTCTACATACATGAGAGTATAAATGAGAATTTTCTATATTAGCTTACACATATCTAGATTTTGTATCTGATGAAAAGTACATATTTCATACTGCATGCAACAGGTTCCTTTATGGGTTTAAAAGCAAGGAGGAAATATTTCTCTGGACCACCTAGATTTTGGATGTTTTGCTCTTTCTGGGTCCCAATTATTCAGAGAGATGAGACTGTATCATAGTACTATATATCCAAGGGCTCTCCCACCAAATGGGAATTCTTCAGAGATATAATATTTCCCCAGATATCAGAAGTAGCCTTGTGCTTTCTTCTTTCACTTGCCTCTGATTGAAGCTCTTCCTAGGAATTGTTGGAAAAAAGATGAGTGGCATTTCATCAAATTATATACTAAGCATCTACCTATGAGTTTGCTCATCTGAAAATGGAAGTCAGGCTAGACGACCTCTCAGGCCCTTTCTCTCTAGGTCTTAAATCTTAATATGATCTTTGACTTTAAATATAAGATCTTTTTTTTCAGAATCTGTGATCAAATATTGTGACCCTCCTTGGAGGCAAATTTAGGTCATTGGTTCTCATATGGTCCCTTCTCTTTCTGTGATTCCAATAATAGATCATATGACCCATGTGGATTTTAAAAAAATGTTGTTTAGTGGATCTCGGTCGTGATCTAATATTTTCTTCAGGCACCAAAAGAAAGCTCTCTGGTACATAGGGAAATGGTTGGGAGTTGTGATGTCCTATGTCCTCACATTATTCCTGGTAGACAGATAGACCATTGCTACCTTCTTACATGATCCAGAAATTGGCTTCAGTTTCCTAAACAGGTTGGGATGGCTACAATAGTAAGTGGTGATAGTGGTTGCCAATGGGAGACAGATGCTCGTGGAAAGTTGGCTGGATCTGGTCCTTTTTGCTCACTAGCTCAGAATTGTTCATCCGTACTGATTGAGAGTGACTTCAGACTTCAAGCAATGGGCCTATTAGCAATCACAATACTACAGGACTTGAGACTTCTTGCTGTTGTTTCAAAACCTACCAAAAATATCCATTAACTTACTCAATTCCTGTGTCTTATTCCCATTCCTTGCTCTTTCTCAAAAATTTCAGTCAAGTGCCTCACCTCGGTAAGCCCATCTCTGAAATTCCTGCTGCCTATTCTGTGAACAAAAAAAAAGTCTAAATGTTATGTCATGCCATCAAGAATGCTGACATAACAAAAGTATATCGCCCTTTCTGAAGCTGAAAAATAATAATAATAAAGATCATGACTGCTTAATATTTAAACAAACTGTTCAATGTTTAAACAGTGAAGTTCTGCTGGGTGTGAATACCGAATAGGAATTGGTTTGCAATCTAACACTGGCCTCCCATATGGCTGGGTGTTATAAATGATGTCATTTGTCACAGATATGTTAGCTGCCAGCAGAAGACTGCTTGGTGCCAAATGTAGGTTGAAAACAGGACTTTTCTTCTTTTCGATGTATTTCCCATCATCCCTCCTAGAATCCTACAAGACAACAAGCTGCCTATCATTCCCAAGGGCAATCTTTGCTTTTAAAAGAACAGGTATTATTAGTACTTTCAGCGCAAAGATTTTTGTCATTCTCCCTCTGAATTGTTTTTTTTTTTTCCAGGAGCAGTCGGAGTGGGTACCCGTCTATGAGCCCACTCTCCCCCCAGGAAATATTCCAGTTGGCTTGCATGGACCCAAACCATGGGGAGTTCCAGGAGCAGCAATCTCTGGTGAATGAATGAGTTATATTACCTTGAGAATACTCTTGGTTTCCTGGTCCCTACTCTCTCTTTCAGGTTTTGTTTTCAGGACTATGATCTGTTGGAAGCACCATTTGGGGTATCCAGCTGAGATTTCCCCATTACCTTTATGACCACCCCCATATTATCCCAGCTGGATTTTTGGCCTATTCTCTGACCAAATGCTCATCTCACCAGGCCTTAAAAGCCCAGAACCCCTTTCCCTGCCACAAAATAGTACATTACTTCAGTTCAAGCTGTCTTGATTTGTGCCACTGGACATTAGGAATGAAAATAAAATTGAGAAAAATAAAACCTCTTGTTTTATGGAGGTCTTCAGGTGAGTCACCATAAAAAATATAACTAACAATAGCCAGATGCTACTTGAAAGAAACTTCAGAATATCTTATGCCAGCCCCTTGTTATCAAAGCATTTCTTTGCTCATTATCAGTAATGTATAATATGCAAACAGTGACTTTTTCTACACTATGAAGTACATTGAGAATTTCTTCTTCAGGGATTAAATTCTCTTGATCATTTGGCTCAGACTTAAGTAAGGTCAATAATTCCTTGAGGAATTTGAATCCAAATGAGTTTTTGTCAACATTATTCCCAAAGAATAGTGCTGAATTAAGCTAGAACTATTCAGTTTTAAGGAAATCAGATCAGAGATAAGGAGGGGGAGGCTTCTTATTCATAATATTATCAGCTCCAGTGAGCAGGCATCCTCTGCCCAGGGGATCAAAAGACACCTTCAGGGAAAACAGCAGGGTATCTTGATCTATAACAATAAGAACAACTCTCTCTGCAAGGTTCTATATAAATAGCCTTCCCAGGTGAATTCCAACTCATCCTCAACTTATAATTATAACTGGACTGTTTCCTTCTCTCCCTCCATACTCCACCTCAGTCTCTGGCCTGCCTTCTTTCTGAGTTTAGCCTAGCAATGGCCTAGATGGATGACCCATACTTGTTGTATCTGTAATATGGGGGTACTTGTGCCTGATTTCAGGCAAGTGTGTGGAATGTATGCTTAATAGAATGGTACATCTTAGAAATGGGAGAGATCTGATCTCATCCCTAAAGGCTCAGGCTGACAGAACAACTCTTTTTCTGTGACAGCTAAGAGAAGTCGTGAAATATTCATGGTTGTGTGGGGGAGAACATGGTAGTTATGTCAGTCACTCTTAGTGGCTGGTCAGCTCTCCCAGACATACCCAAGCATCTCCTAAAGCTACTAAAGATGGTCAGGAAGAAAAAGTAGACTCCATGGCTTCTTCCTACCCTTCTCTCTTGAGACCTTCAAACCAAGACCCAGGGAATATTTTTTGTAGTTCATTAAATTCTACAACTCTCATATTTATCTGCCCCTGTTGGTGATGTATCTGTTAAAGATAATTCAGCAATGTATCCTTTCTTTCACAGGGTGACTTCCTTTATTCCACAACCTCATTTCAGCTGACTGGCTGCCCTGGGCTGAACCATGGCGCCAGTAGCATTTGGATTTATGTCTATCTCATTGTTAGTGCTGGTGTCTGTGATTCAGATTCAGATCTCAGCCTGTGCCACACAAAAGCCACTGTGCAATCTGCCCATCACTGCCCATCACCCCACAGCCTACCCCCTCCAACTTATGTCCACCTTCTAAGGCATGGCCCCAATATCCATGTGTGTGTTTTATGTATGACATGTATACATATGCATGTGTCTCTGCATCACCTTTGCTCCTATAGGGCTCTGGTGTAGAATACCTGTATATTTGGAGTCGGATGTACGTGCTGTTTAAGAGTGTCTAACAACCTCTCTCTAAATTCCCATTATGAACACACATTGCACCTCCAGTGAAAGTAACCTTCACTAATAACTGAAGCCACACATCCAAATGGTCACAGAGACTGCCTCTGTGCAGAGGATGTCAATGGTTCTCTGAAGCTATCCTCTTCCTGGTGATTTCAATTCTATATAGAAGAGGACCCATCCAAATTCACACGTCTTCTATACACATATCACTTCTTTATAGGATGTTACTTCATAATGAAAAAAAATATGCCTTTTCTAGGAATAAATTCCTAACAATATACATTAGCCTCTGGTATTCCTTTCTCTGTTGATAAAAGCATACATTCTTGAGGTAATCCTCTATCACTCTCTGATAGTAACATGTGGAAGCTACAGAATTTTTCCCTTTCTTTTTCCCAAGATTGAAACACTATAATCAGATCATTTATATCTTTGACTGAATTTAAGAACTGGTAGAATCCAGTCAAACTTTTGAACAAAAGAATTCTTCAGATTTAAATCTTTAAAAAGCCAAACACCACAGCCAGATTATGAACTTTTGCCACATTTTACAAGTATTTAAAAGTATTTTTACAAATGTTGAAAGTATTAAATTAAAATTTAAAAGTACTTTGAAGTATTTACCAAGAAATAAATTATTTTGCAAAATGATAGATACATTTATACACCGAAAGAATGTTGATATTTGACTTTCTGAGATGACTCTAACCTAATTATTTTTCACCTAATGGTCAGCCATCTATTGATAAGCTTCTATACAACTAAGTTGGTCCTTGTACAGAAAAGATGATATGGCACCGGAACCATACTAAAAGCCTTGCCATTTTGGTAGGACACGCCTAGATATTGTGTATACTGAAAGAGTATTTGAGGAGCTGTGACTACCTCTTTGCCATGATGAAGCTTTTGAGTGGGACTTTAATGAAAGATAAATCCAGAAATGATTTGTGCACTGAAGTGCTTTGTGCACATGTGTGTGCGCATGCACACACACACACACACACACACACACACACACACACTGAAATTCTTAAATGTATTGATTCCTTCCTTAAAGCCATTCCCGGTATGGTAGAGGCAGGATCATTAGCTGAAAGGGGAGATGCAATAGGATTGAACTAAGTCCCACAAGCTTGGCTGTGTGTTTATTTCCAGGAGCCAGAGGTTAGTGATTTAAAAATCGTGCAGCCCTCTAAACATGGCAGCTACCTCCCTTCGGACACCCAGGAGCATGCAGTATCTGGGAGGGCATCATCTATGCCACGCCTGACTATGGATCCCCAGGTAAAATGCAACCACCACTCACCCTATGCAATAGCAAGACAGGCTATGATGAGTCAGTTGCCTTTGAAATAACATCTGACATTTTTCAGGTGAGATATTACCTTCTCATCAACAAGATCCTTCCCAGGAGTCTTCTTTAGTTGATCCTGTTTATCAGTCACTGTTTTTCCAGCTAATATCAAATCAAATAAAGTAACTTCCACTGAGAAAGACCAACCATCTCCTTGACGGGCTATTGACCATCAACAGTTTAAAACATATTAAAGATTCTCAGAGTGCAAGCAAGCCACATGGAAAATACATTTTAGAGGTTTCCTGCCTCTTTTTCTAATCCTTTTTTTTTCCTTTTCCACCTTCAGTCTACACACACACACACACACACACACACACACACACACACACACTCATACACACACAACTCTGCACTGAAACTGTCCTAAAACAGTGCAGCTGCATCTCATCTCTTTGTCTGTCTATCAGCTCTTTTCTTGTGTCTGTCTGTCTTACATCGTTTTGACAAACAGAGATGAGAAGTGTTTTTTTCTGTTGTTGTTCGGGTTTTTGTTTTTTCTGCTTTTGAGGAGTAGGTTTGTTTTCATGTCTGTCACAAGGCAGAGAACCATGATTTTAATGGTTGAGTGGGACAGAATAGAGAAGCTGATTTTACAAGGCCAAGAGAGGCACATAGGCCTTACTCCCTTTTTATGATAGGCTCGCTTTGGAGAAATCAGCTGACTCAAAGTCAGTTTCTCAGAAGAGGAAAATGGATGTTTCAAAACCATGGTACCCCCATGACCCAGATTTTTAAAAAACTTTTGTCCTAATGTTTCATAAAGGAGGTTCAATGTATTCTACGAGTCCAGGCTTAGCTGTTCTGAGGGATCATTAGATGGGAATCCTGCATAGTAGTTCTCTGTGTTCTGTTTAGCTCTCTCTCAGTACACACAGCTTCTCACTTTCCTGAGCATCAAGCTAGCTCCTGGACCAGTTCCACTGGTCCTCTACTACGCTAAGATCCTAAATTCATCATCTGGTACTTCCTGCTCATTCAGCTAATTCTGAGCAAAAGAGACCATGAAAGAATCTCTCTTTGAGGCTACAGACTTTAAATCTGCAACAATCCCAGATATTTGCTGGATTATTTTTCTCTCTTTTCTTACCCATCCTGCCCTCTAGTAAGTAATCCAGGCCCTGTATTCTCTTTGGGGTCATGCTTTCAGGTGGTGACGGACCCAAGCTCCATGAGGCGTTCCTTTTCCACTATCAGAGACAAGCGTACAAACTCCTCTTGGTTAGAGGAGTTTTCAATGGAGCGAAGCAGTGAAAACACCTACAAGTCCCGCCGACGCAGTTACCATTCTTCCTTGCGCCTGTCAGCTCACCGTCTGAATGCCGACTCAGGTAAAAAATATTTTTGGGCTCTGGTCAGTTCTCTGGCTAAAAGAGGTTTAGCAATTTCATCCATCAATGAGTCTCTTCCTTGAAGAACCAGCTCTGGTTTGGGGTCCATTGGTACTAGAACTGAATTCTTTCAGAATGTAAGAACTATGACCAAAGATAAAATGGCGGGGTCAGGAATGTAGTTCTGGAAGAAAATTTTTTTCCAAAACTTTTCCTTCTCATCACCTCACCCCTAAAATTAATCTGAAATTTTAATCAATTAACATCTATTAGATGCCCGATGTGAACAAAATACTGTGCTAAATAAGCCCTGGAGATAAAAAAATGAAAAATGACTAGTCTCTAGACTAAAAGAACCCAGGCTTACAGAGCTAGAGTTGAAAGGACACTTGAGGACAGTGAGTCTAATCCTTCCATTTTGCAGATAAAAAAGTGGAAGCCCAAAGAGGTTAAATGACTTAATTCATAAACCTTTATTAAGCACCTACTATGTGCCAGGCACTGTGCTCAGTATTGGATTTTGCCTAGAATCACACAGCTAGTAAGTATCTAAGAGATTTATAGTCTAAAGAATATGACACAGATACGTATCATACAAAATAAAATAGGAGGGTGGTGTAGTGCTCTAGGGAAACGAGGAAAAAGGGACTCAGAGAAGACTTTCTGGGGGACATGGCACAGGAGATGGAGCCTGAGGAGAAGACAGGCTTATCATTTTAGCAGGTAGAAATGAGGAGGAAATCATTTCTATACATGATAAAACAATATGCATGAATGCACAAAGGTCAGAGAAGACAGACCAAGATCATGAAATGTAGTAATTGAGAATATAAGTTCCTTGAGGGGAGGGACTGTTTCAGTTTTATCTTTGGATCTCAGGTATATAACACAATATTCTTGCATAGAGTAGGCAATTAATAAATATTTAATTGAATTTGTTGGAAGTAAGTAGAGTACGTGAAGGGGGAATGGTGTGAAATAAGGCTGAAAAGGTAGCTTGGAGCTAGACTGAGTTTGGACTTCATGGCAATTGGGAATTTTGAAAAGCTTTTTAAGACGTAAAGTAACACAAACTGACCTGTCCGTTGAGAAGATGGTTTTGACAACTAGTAAAAGAATGGATCAGAGAGGGGAGGCAGAAATACCAGATATTAAAGTCATATCCTAATAAGATTCTTATCTAAAAAAGTAGTTTGTTTTCCTAAGCTGTTGTTTTTGTTCAGTCGTTTCGGTCCTGTCTGACTCTTTGTGACCCCATTTGGAGTTTCCTTGGCAAACATACTGGAATGATTTGCCATGACCTTCTCTAGCTCATTTTACAGTGGAGGAAACTGAAGCAAACAGGGTTAAGTGGCTTGCCCAGGGTCACACAGCTAGGAAGTCTGAGGACAGATTTGAACTCAGGAAGATGCATCTTCCTCCAGGCCCAACACTCTGTCCACGTGCAATACAGCTGCTGAACCTAACCAAAGACTCCATTTATCTAGTTATTAATTGTTAGAAAACCCTAGAATGATGGAACTGAATAGGAACCTTGGAGATCACCTTGTCCAACCCTTCAATTTGCAGAATGAGGAAATGAAGGCCTAGTGAGATTGTGACTTACCCAAGGTCATGCAAGCAGGAAATGGCAGAGCTGGGACTAGAGATCAGGCTTCTAGATCTCCTTCCAGGGCTTTTTCTACTGTATCTCTTGGCATAATTAGTTCATAGAAACTTTCTTCCTACTGCTGGTACCATCTTAACCATAAAAGATGTATGTTTGCATAAGACACTGAAAATTCCTGAATAGCATTTCTGGCAAACAAAAACACACATCTTGTACCCTAGGAGAATATGGCTAGTGTAAAAGGGAAGTAAAACAGATGGCATTCTGTAAAGTGGAAATATCACAAGCTGGAGACTTTCAAACTCTCCTGCTTACCCCAAAGGTATTTCCTTTCTGATCCTTCTTTGCTCTCAGTTACAACAGATCCCATGTTGACAAGAACTGAAATCCTTCTAGGGGCCCAATTCCACATGACCAGTTAAGGTTTGTCTTCCCTTTTCAGGAGCTTCTTCATGTTCAGTTATCTCTGCCCTCTTCAACAGGTCACAAATCTGATACCCATCGCTCAGGAGGCAGAGAACGTGGTCGATCCAAAGAACGTAAGCACCTTCTGTCTCCTGATGTATCCCGCTGTAACTCTGAAGAACGGGGTACCCAAGGTGACTGGGAGTCTCCTGAGCGACACCAGTCTAGGTCACCTAGTGAGGGCAGGTCTCAGACATCCAACAGACAGGTGAGTATGAAAAGCTGGCACTTCAATAAAAGGGACAGAAGGGTTGGGTTCATTCTAGATATGTGCACAGGTAATAATACAGACTGCTTTTGACCATTGAGGTTCACAACTTCCTACCCTTGGGGGAACCTAAGCCTCTACAATCACAAGTACATATCACTCAAAACTACCATGTTCGAAAGTATAGTGTACCTTGCAGAAAACCAAAGTATTCCCTAAAGGATGAATAGAATGCCATCTTGGTAGTCCCAACTATTGTTAAAGTTTAAAGGGACAGAGTCACAGCAACATGACTCCAGTGAATCTATGCCAGACTCAGCTAATAGGATATCCTTTGGTTAAGGAGGTATCTTTGCTGCTCACAGAATCTCAGAAACTTCAAGTTGGAAGGGGGCACCTAGCTTAACCTTTACCTGACAAAGAAGCCGGTCCACAGCATCCTCAACCAGCAGTCATTCAACCTTCACTAAAAGACTCAGGTGAAGGGAGAACCTACCGGTTTCCCAAAGCAGCACATTCCATTGGGTGATAGTTCTAATTTTAGAAAATCTTTCCTTACATCAAGCCTTGATATGTGTCTCTGCAACTTCTCCTTGCTCCTATTTCTGCTTTCGGGTCCAAGCAGAACAAGTCCTTCAAATCCTTGAAGAGGGCTATCATGCGCTCCCTAAACTTTCTTTTCTTTAGGCTTTTCAATCATTCCTAATATGACATAATCTTAAGACTCTTCATCATCCTTGTCACCCTCTTCTGCATACTCTCCAGTTCATCAAAGTTCTTTCTAAAATGTGACACCCAGAAATGAACACAATACTCAGGATATAGGCAGATCAGGCAGAGATTACAGTGGAATTCTCAGCTTCCTTGTTCTGATAAAACAAAAAATAACAATTTGTATCATTTCATATTTAATCCTGGTAAGAATGAGAATTCATTGTTCAGACCAGTCCTGCTTATTAAGTGCAAAGCAACTTCATTGATCTGTGTCTCCATCTAGTCTAGAATAAAGAAGATGGGGGAGGACTACAAACTAGAAAGTCCATTCGCTAGCCAGAGCTCCTCTTGTCTGATTCCACAGTTTTATGGAAATAAAATTTGTGTCCCGGTTTGTAGCCTTTCTGCCTTCTTGTCCCTGCCTGTTACTGAGGAATAATGGGCCCAGAGAGAGAAAAAACCTAGCAAATGGGATCCATGTTCCTAAGGATCTTCCATGAGAAGGCTGATCTTGTAAGAGAACAGGGGAACAGGAAGATAATATACCAGAGTCCCATTCATGGAAGACCTAACAGTGTCAGAGAGAGGTGACATAGAAATCTGTTCAGGGAGCAGTTATGTGTTCTGAGGAGTCAAACAGGGTCCATGCCCTCACAATGGCCAATAAGAGAAAAGAGCTCCAGGTGAAGGTATTGTAGAGAAATCAGTGGCATCTAGAAGTAACCCTGTCACTTGCCACCCAAACTTAGAGATCTTTAGAACTCCTCTCTACCCTGTAACATGATTCTTCTCTTCTCTTATTCTTTTAAATGCCATATAACTATGGCTTTCTCTCTCTCTCTTTTCTTTTCTTTTCTTTTTGCCCTGATCCTAAATGGTTATCTGTGTGCCATTGAAAAAGTATGGACTTCTAGCTGAGCTTCGCCTCCTACCAAATATATTTAGAGTTAGTACCACTGGCAGATGATTGGACTAAAACTAGAGTTGAGTTGGTAAGAAGATGATTTCAATCTCATCCATTCCCTAAAGTTCAGACTAAGGTGGTTCACCATAAGACTAGATTTCTGAACAAAATCCCAAGTGTACATCACCCAAGCCTACTTTAATCTGTGTCTCTCTCCTGCTCTACAGGGTACAGGTTCCCTTAGTGAAAGCTCCATTCCTTCTATCTCTGACACCAGCACCCCAAGGCGAGGTCGTCGGCAGCTTCCACCTGTTCCCCCTAAACCCCGGCCCCTCCTCTCCTACAGTTCTTTGATGCGACATCCTGGTAGCATCTCCCCTCCATATGATGGGAGTGAAGTTGGTTCCCCACTGCCCTCCAAGGCCCTGGAGAGCAATGATGCCTGCCTGACTGAGTCTTCCAGCTCACCACAAGCAAAGCAGAGTCAACACTCCACTCCCCAGCGCTATATCTCAGAGCCCTACCTGGCTTTGCATGAAGACTCCCATGCCTCGGACTGTGGCGAGGAGGAAACACTCACCTTTGAGGCTGCTGTGGCTACCAGCTTGGGCCGCTCCAACACCATTGGCTCAGCCCCTCCTCTGAGGCACAGCTGGCAGATGCCCAATGGGCACTACCGGAGGCGGAGGCGTGGGGGACCAGGGCCAGGGATGATGTGTGGGGCTGTTAGCGATCTCCTGAGTGACACAGAAGAGGATGATAAATGCTAGAGGCCATGCCCCCCTCCGATGCATGCTCTTCTCCAATATGGGGTAAAACAGATAGACCCAAGAAGCCAGTGAAGCCTGGGGGGAGGAGGAAGAAGAAAGGACATTATGCAGAACCAGCCAAGAAAAAGGAAAGGAAAATAGACAAACAATCAAACCCACCAAAAATGATTTGATTTCCCTTTGCAAGACAGGCACAGCCATGGTTCTGTCTCCTTGCTGAGGGAGAGAGAGAGAGAGAAATGTGGGAATGTGGACAGTCATCTCAAGGGAAAAGGAAAATAGATATAATGGCTCTACTTCCCCCTCATCCCAATCACTTTGGTAAAGGCAATGGCTTTATGTATGCCAGTATTGCCCTGAAAAGCATAGAAAACCTCCTGGCTGGATGCTGGGGTCCATAGGAAATAGCCAACAGTAGAGGAAATGCCTCCCTTACTCCCCTTCATGCTCTTCAGCCATCACCACTGTCACCAGAGCAATCTCAATAGCATCTTGTGCTATGCCATGGTTTGCTCTCCACACAAGAGTTTATGCCAAGGTCAGGAGTTCTGGATATCCTGTGTGGAAGGCAGGGAAGGAGAAGAAAAAAAAGGTAGGGGATGGCCGGTGGAAGAAGCGGTCTGTGGTGCTCTGGCATGGAAGGGGATGGTTTCCCGAGTAAGAATAGTAAGAGCCCCACAGCTTGCATCATGGAGGATTATAGAGTTAGAGCTGGAAGGGACCATAGAGGTCATCTAGTCCAACCCCTCATTTTTCCAGATGAGAAAACATAGACTAAAAGATTGGTTAAGTGACTTATCTAAGGTCAGAAAAGTAGTTAAGTGGAAAAACTGGAATACATACCCATCTTCTGACTCCAGATTTAGCAGTGCTACCAGACAAGACCCACTTATGTAGATAGGCATTGAGATATTGACACATGCAGCTTTATTGCTGTGCACATGTACTATGAGTCCATGTGTTGATAAACTGAGCATCACCAAGGGTCTTCTTCCCCTCCTGGATCTGTAGGCCAGTGGTCCAGTTTGGGCCACCTGCAAGACCAATCTAATGGGTGTTGTAGATGTTCTATTCAGTGAAGCCAACTGAGAATGTCCTGATCATCCCTGCATTTTCCCTGAGGGAATGGAAATCATATTTAAGAGTAATCACATGTCAGATAGACCTTTAAAAAAAAAAAGGAAGGAGATGAGGTTATTTAAATTAAAAAAGCCTCCATCAGTCAGGCAATATTTGAGTGCCTCTCATGGATGTACATGGACACTACCACTGGATGGTGGGATTTTCTCAGTTAGCATGTGGTTAGGGACCAGCTTCACTAGTCTTGTGGGATCCTATTTAAGGTAATTAGTTAATATACCTCAACTTAGGCTTAGGATGCTGCTTGCAGGAGAGCAGCTTCTATGCTGGAACAAAACTCATGTAATAAAGAATATTTCCTTAAGTCAGGACCCTACTTCCCCTCTCTCCTAAGTAACAACAGTGCAGAATGGCATTCAATTTGGAATCTCTCCTTGTGCTACAGCACAGACAGGTTCTGCACTCAACAAACGCCAGTCCCTTCTTCTGTAATGCTTTGTTTACACTTTGGCAAATGAGAAAGAGATACAGATTAAGGACTTATTCCAAGGCATTTTAAAATGCCCTGTCCTACCTCCAATGCCTGACTGCAGAGCTGCTTAATGTCACTCCTTATATCCACCAGTTTTCCAATGAGACCCTAACAATGAGATAGAAAATAGCCAAGCCCCCCTTTCCTAGCTAAACTAAGCAAAGGGAAAAGTAATGATCCTCCAAATCCAGTATTCTCAAGATATGATCTAATGGGATGATTTAATAGCAGTCATGGAACTCCACTAAAACCTGATACAATGACTACAGATTGCCCTTTACAAGAGAAAAAGGCACTGCCTTCATCTGCACCCACCCCCAATACAGCTACCTCCATCCTTCAAAGACAGCAACGTTGCCAGAAGAATTACACTGCAAGTAAAAGGGATCATTGAGAAATGAGCCCAGTCAGGGTACCAATGGTCCTCTTGCCAGAGCAGGATCAGAATCAGGAGAAGAAAGAAGGAAATAAATCTGTCGTTAAGACCCTATTCCTGTCCCAGCACCCACTAGAGACTTCCCTTGTTCCATTTCACAGGATGAGTCTTAAAATGGAAAACCAGTGGAGGGAAGTCATTGTTGATTCTGCCAGTGGCTAAGTATAACCTATTCATACCCCTTTTAGTCAAAGAATGGATGACAGTTTTTCTTAGACTCATTTCTGAAATATTTTCCTATGGCTTTCTAATCTGGATAGAAAGAAAATATAGTAGGATTAGCTTTGCATACAGAATAACCTCCCAGTGGCTTGGAGGCGCCAATCATTCTACATATACCTTGCAGATATTAACAAATCATTCATGCAAGCCAGAGTACACAAGCCCTAGCCATCATGTCACATGTGGTCAGTCACAAAACCAAATTTACCACCTAAGAAATGGAAGGTCAATGGCAAAGAGGTAGCGCATTAGCAAATGGCCTGCCCTTCCTTCCTTAGCTACTAGAATATCGTCTCCCCCTCCCAATTGCCCATCATCCACCATTTATACACTCTCCCAAAGCAGTTCAGAGTGTAAGCATTGATGTACAAACCACTGATGTTACAATCCTTGTAACATAAGGGCTGTACCCCGGGTGTCACGTTGTTCTCCACGGCGTTGTTGTAAAGCATCATTTCACACCAAAGCTCTGCTATGACTCCTCCAAGTACACAACCTTATTTTCTTCCTCCTCTGAAACAGTTATCTCAAGGGAAGGACTTTGCACAGGACAGCAATTCTGAGTCAGCAGCATGATTGCTTGGTGTTTTGAGAGGGAGAACTGAAGTGGTAACTAAAGCCATTTAGACTGTAGGGGAAAGTCAGGCTGGGAAAACAATGGCCAGAATTGGAATTTTGCTGCAAACATGGCTTTAAGAAATCTAAAGTTCCAAGAGACCTTCCTAGATACCTTAGCCCCTTGAATTTAGAGTGTTCATATGCTAAACAAATGGCCTGGCACCAGAGTACCAAGAGTGAAAATGGAAACCTTTATACACTGACCGACTGCCAGCCTATCTTATTCCTGGATGTATGACCTAATTTCCTTTTCTCTGCTTCCCTTAACTAAGGGAATGAAGCCTAGTCTGTCACATTAGGGCATGAGACACAAATTACCTTCCCTCTACTACTCTATCTTCCTTGCTGCCAATAAAAGTTTTTACTCAAATATTTTCTCCAACTAGCAACCTGCTCAAAACATTCATTCATTCATGTACCAATCCCTGTCCCTGCTGATTTCTTTGGAAAGTAAATCTAATATGTTTCACCTTGCTTTAAAAAAAAAGTAATTGGCATTTTAAAAAAATCTTGAACTTGAGAAGATTATTGTTAATGCCCTAAAAGATGGGGGGGGGGGGAGAGTTTCCAGATCTATTAACATCATTCTTAATTTTCTTGCTCAATATTACACCTATTAGCATTCCCTTAAAAGCAAATGAGAAAAACCCAGCTGGTACTGAGAAGGCCTATGAAAATTAGTTCTGGTGCTTTTAGAAATGTTGGTCACTACCCAGGCTTAGGCCACACGGCCCATCTATGGTCTTCTACTCTTCCAATTCTTCCAACAGAAAAACACAGAGCCAGGACTGGAACGATAAGTGGACAGAAGGGCAAGACAGACCTATGGATCTAGCAGAGAATGAGGACTGGCATAGGCCAGAACAAGATGGAAGATGGTGCCCTGTCATTCAATAAACGTTGCTATTGGCTAAATGCTGAGGATAGAAATAAAACCAAAACAGGCAACGATGCCACCCTAAAGAAGAGGAATGTGCATTCAAGTGGGTCATCATCAGCTTGCCTTGTCCTTATTGCCATGTCCTTAAAGCACTAGGTTTATGGTTTATCTACACTCACAGGACCATAGCATTTTAGAGCCAGAAAGGACTTTTGAGATCATTTAGGTCAAGCCCAACATTTTATAATGAAAGAATGATTCATGGAGGTTAAGTGACCTGATACTGACATTACTGACAGATTGGAAAGGAAATCCATCCCAGTTTAATCTATGTCTTCACACACTGGTAGAGAGATTTCAGAGTATATTTCCCTGAAATGGGGCCCCAGGTATTTCTCAGGATTCTGCTTTCTCCTAGCTTAGTGTATTATATGGAAGGCCAAAGCAATTGTTTCTCTTCCCCTGGCAAGCAGCCTTTGGGTTGAAAGTAAGTCTCCCTTTTCTTCTATTCTCACCATCCCAGTCAATATTTGGAAGCTTAACGTTGATTCAGCTCTTGAGATTGTTAAATACACCAGGCTCAGGCTCAGTTGCATGCACCACTGCCTCTGCATCAATATTTAGCCTACTCATTGAATTCAGTTGTTGAATTTTCTAAATATAAATGGAGCACAATGATCTTTAGGAATGGACAATAAAAGTCCATGAGATACTCTGAAGCAGGCATAGGGTAGAATGACTTTGCATCCATCCATACATAAATCATATGTATGTATCTACATAAATGCATACATCTATACGCATACTGAAAATCAATTAAATATTGGGCCAGGGTCGTATTGCCAAAGCAAGTGCCATCTGGTATAAAGCAACAAAGATTTTTTTAAAGAAAATTTAAAAAACAAAAACAAAAAATACCCCCCACGTGTGCTTTATAAACTCTTTCTAAGGCCTGTCTTGCCTTTGTGTGTTCTGGAGAGAGCATTTCCTGTGTGGTTAAGAGCTGAGGACCAGGAGACTGGATTCTCCTATTTGTTTCCAGCTCAATCATGAATTCGCTGTGTATAACATTATGTAATCCATTCCACCTCTTGCCAGAAGAATAGTGGGAATCGGTGTATGTGTTGGGAGGAGGGGAAAAATGAGGCCAGAATGCTATTTACCTACCTCACAGGGATATTGTGAGGCTTAAAGCAGAAACATAAAAGATTAATTAATACTGTTAATTACTTAATTAACCAGTTAATTAATGCTGTTGTCGATTACCAGTCTGTCTGTTAAGTGTTTTGAGATCCTCACAAACCAGGTGCTAATGCAATTCAAAGGATCAGAGGAGGAACGGTTTCTATTCATTGGAGCATCCTTTCTGGAGTGTCCATTCCTATGTGACCCTTGCCTGCTCTCTTCCAGATTTGTAGTATTTGGTCTTGCCCAACTCATTCACCTGAGCACTTTACGAAATATCCCATAGAGAAAGAAACGGGCAGGAAAGCCCCTTTACGTGTTCTGAGAGTGATAAGGGCAGAATCCAGACCCCACATAGAATCAAAACCCAAAACCCAAAATTTACTTAAAGCAAAACCCCGTAAAAGCATTTGTATACACACGTACATGCACACATTTTTAAAGACCCTTCTAGCAAAAGAAAAACTTATACTCAGGGGCTTCTTGACCTAACCTTACCACGTTACGAACTAATAAGAGTTCAGCCTAGCCAGTGCTGTGTTTGTCAAAGTGAGTACACCCTGGCATTCCTCAGTGTCTTAGCCTGTACCATTAAACTGCCCATAAAATGTCATCCAGGTTCACCATAGGACCCAGAAACAGTGGCCATTGCCTTTGTCAGCTGGTCTGCATAAATTGTTACTTACTGCCTGCTGAACAACTGAATTTTTTCAGTTGGTACTTCGAATTGCAGCACGTATGGCAATGGTGCATAGACGTAAGCACTTTGCAGTCCATTCGGAGGAAATGGAATTAGTTCTCCTGGATCTTCTGACTGACCTCTCCTTCCCTTAAATCCACACCTGCTTCTTAGCCCCTTTGACCATCTCAAGCTTTAGTCTCAACAGCCTATCACAAGGCAAACGGATACACAGCATCATTCCATGCTGGACTCGGGTTCTCTGCTACACTGTGAAGCATTCTTTGGCAAATAAAGCCTTTTAAGTATCATAGACTGATCGCTGTGTAGGGTTGGAGGGACACCATTTCCCAAAGCTGACTCTGATTGACTGGTAGGTGGGTAGTGTGTACATCAATACCTAAGAATCAACATTCCTCTTTCAAAGGGATGTCTCCCCTGGGCACAAACTTCTAGGGTGGATGGAGGTAGGTAACTAAAAAATTGGGGTGAAAGCCCCTGACACCTCCTTCATCTTCTCACCCCAACCCAATGCTGTAAATGCTTTTAAATGCAAAAAGATTTCTGACCATAAGCCATGCTTTTTGTAAATACATTATTACAACTTGGAATTTTCTTTTTGGGGTGGGTAAGAATTGGGTTGAGCAGGGAATTCAAAAAGAAGTTATTGATCATTTAACATACAGGTGTGGTGTAACAGAGGGTTGCTAAGGGGAAACAACGAAAGTGCTCCCAAAATTATTTTGAGCCAGTTTTTATTTAGAACATTTATTTCAAGTATTATAACACTTGAATCAAGAATCAAGAGAACAGTCTCACACGCACTCTTTGTCATTCTTCTCAAAAGACTAAAAATCAAGTCTAGATTTCCACAAATGGAAATATTGTCTTAAGACCCTGTCGGATGAATATGACAGAACAGAAAGAGTAAAGGGATGATTCAGAGACCTTTGATGGATAATTTTAAGACTCCATCACAAAAGATTATAATGTATGGTTTAGAACAAACAAAAAACCAAAGTGATCGATGTCCTGCTAAACCTAAATACTGATGCAGGAAAAGTTACTGACACTTACTTGGTAGATATTCCACTAGCTGATGCCTTTAACAAAAGGCAAATTCAGAGCTCTCTTGTTAGTCAGACATCATAATGTTTGGCACTTCCAGGGACACAGCAAATGCTTCTAAGTAAGCTTGATGTTGTCATTGAGTCTCCACAAAGCAATTTAAAATTATATTCACTCATCCCATCCCACTAAGATCCTGTGCTATTTGTGTTATTTTTATTTTACCTCTTTAAGGAAACTTGGTTTCAAGTTTGAGGATACTTGCATCCAAGATCTGGTGCAAAATTCTCCTCTCACTCCCTCATATTCTTTCTCTCTTTCTCTTTTTCTTCCCCTTCTCTCTTATAATGGAAACCTCTCTTTAGGAACTGAAACCATTTCACCAGTGAAAGGTCTTAGGTTGCCATGCTTAGATGTTCAGATACCTGGACAGGTCAGAGATCAGACAATTATCCCCATTCTAATACTTGGCACCCTGCCCTAAAGGAGGCCTCCATTCTAGAGAGAGTTTCTTAAAAGTTAAGGGAGCTCTCTTGATAAGATCACAGGATTTTTGAGCTGGAAAAGATCTTCATTTGAAATGAGAGAGGTAAAACAGTTTGCCCATGTTTTCACAGGCAATAAATGGCATTTGAATCTGGAGCTAGCCTCTTTTCTCCACACCATACTGGCTGTATTCTTGGCCTTGAAAATCAGAACTAATATTGTGTCTGATGATGCTGGACCTTACAAGTCTGCTTGGCATTCAAGATGGATTTTATTTTTCTCACTCCTGGATCCGGGTTATAGACTCCAAACCAAAGAAGGGTTGTTTTTTCCAGATGGTAAGTCTACAACTCTGTCTAGGATTAGGCCTGCCAGGAGACTGGAAGAAGAGGCTCAAACATTTTATGACTTAGATTTTCTTCCCAAAGTTCCACTTCTAAAGCATCATGTAACAAGGATGTTTTGCATTTGTCCTACATCTTTGCCCCTAGAACCATCACCCAAGGCAAGTCTTCTAGAAACCTTTTGTGATTAGAAACAAGGATAAGTGGGAGGAACACACTCCAAAAGTTCAAAGTGCCATTAATTAAAAAAAAATAAATGTGATGCTCAATGAGGGCTAAAAGTCACTAATTGCCATTTAAAATATATAATAGCTTTGATGGCTATTCGATATTTGATATTGAATGATAAAACATTAAGCAGATAACAAGAGATTTAGCAAAACCACATAATTGAATTTTAAGATTTACCTACTGTGGAATAAATACACTGGAATGTAGAGCACTTTTTTGTGCTAGTGATTTATGAACCTGCCAAAATTTATACAAAGTTAACCAAAGTGCTGAAATTGTGAAGGAACCAATCTTTCCCTTAGCGATGTTAGAGAATAGTCCAGGAACACTCACCCCGAGACCAGGATTTGCAACCCTGTAATACATATTATTGGGGGGGAGGGGAGATCTTTTGCACAAGGTCTGTAGAGAACCCAGTGATAGAAAAATAACTAAGGCCATGGAGTAGAGCACCAAATTATAAAACAAAAACAAGGTTAAGGGATAACATGAGTGAGTTGTCAGAAGAGGAAACGCTCCCATAGAGTTTGAATCTTCTTCCCTTAGATCATGACTTGAATTAATATGGACATAGTATTCTCTAAGGATCTTTCCCTTTAAACAATCCTGAGGCAGTGGATTCCTAAAGGTCCAGAACAGTTATATATGGTTTTTCCAGATGAGCAAGGGAATTCTTTTATGTACTCAACCAGAAGACAATCAATTTCAGTAGCCCTTCAATAGAGAAGCTGTGATACCAGGGAGCTTACACTGAACTTCCATGCAGGATATAGGCTGTAAGGGGAGGGAGGGACAGTGGGATTGGGGAGGGGGGGTTTAGGGGGAAGATTTTATCAGGGACAGATATCAAACTCTGCATATGGATATATGTTGAAAGGCAAACCAAAAAGTCCTGGTTTGATATAATCCAGTTGGATACAGTGTACCAATACTATCCTCAGTGGATAGCCCTTTACAAAGAGATGGTCTGCACTTTATCCAGGTCAACGACCTCTGTCTTGGACCCAAGATTATGGCATGTTCACCTTGATTCGCTCTTGGTGCATGAGTGGCAGAGACAAGATACCGAAGAAAGTCGGTGTGCTGCATCAGGCTGTTAAAGGGCAGCCACCATGAAAAACTACACCCCAGCTAAACCCTATGCCATTTTCTTACCCACCTCGTTCTGTGGGGAACTCCAATCCAGCACCAGTTTCAGTAACTGTGTGTTACAGGGAGCCAATGTAGGTCCCTCAGAGTATCAGTGCATCTCTTCTAAAGCAGGAGTTCAGCACTGCATGTTGACAAGGTGGATATATTGTAACATAAATGCTCGTTTGGATCCAAAAAGAAAACATTTAAAAATGATGTACAACTTTAATGGGTTGGTTTTTTTTTGTCAAAGAAAAGAATAAATAAATAAAATCTTCTTGTAAAGAATTAACTAGCCTGATTCCACTTATTTTTGTATCTCTACCTAGGAAGTTAAATGATGAATTGTAGGCAGCAATGTTGTACCAACCACTTTAACATCAAACCCCAGTCCTTCTTACCCCTGGTGCATGCTCTAGGAAGTGAAAATGGTAGTTAATCCTATATTGCTGGCTGGACAAAAGGGCTGGTTGATTGCGGACAACAATCCTCCTATTCCTTTAGAGCATTGTGTCTTCTTAATTTTCTGGATTTGATGATTTTCCTCTTAATAAAAGCATCCTTCACCTTGGAGTAGGAAAGATATTTCCAGATGGTTTGGACCCCAGAGGTAAGATCAAGAAAGTGCTATTTTCAGGTGAAATCACTGAATAGAGAGACCACATCTCTTTCAATCCTCTGAGAATAGAACCAAAAAAAGAAAAGTGAAGGAAACAAATACTAGAGTTTGGTGTTATAGTGAGTTCAGGCTTGATATCTAGAAGTATAATAATTTGGCCAAAATAGACATTGCTTTACCCCAAAGAAAGAAGAATGAGGACAAATCCAAGGCTTAGCTGCCAAGACCAAGACACAGTTGGCGCATTCTAAGGTATGACTCAGAGCAAGTCATCCCCCTCCCCAGTAGATTTCTCCATTCCTCCTTTTTTGTTCCTACACTCTTCTCCCACATCCATTAGCCCACTTTATTTCCATTAACAAAGAAAAATAAAGGCCAACCATCAATGGGGTGCTTTCTTCTTAGGCTCAAGGATGACCCTCAATTTTATCCCTGCCTCACCATGTTATACCAGTCTAACCATTTGTAATAACTTAGCAACAGTGGTTTCCAACCACAAGCAAAAGGAAGCGCTGTTTTGCTCCATGATTGATAACTACAGTATTAAGGAAATGATTTCCCTCCAATTTTGCCCCAGTGTGGGCTGTTCAGCCACTGTATTTTTGATAGAGGTCATGTGGAAAATATATGGATTAAGTAAGTTTTCTCTCAATCTCCTGTTGCCATGGTGAGTCACAAGCCAATTGAAAGAAGGAAGCACAGATACTGCTCTGGGTTTCTGTGGTGGTTCAGAAATTCATTATCCTTATGCAAGATATCTCCAAATCTCAGTTTTGCCCCTTGGTTTGTTATAAACAGGTCTATCCTATTTACAATCCTTAGTGTGTGAGCTGGCATAACTTTACTCCCATTTATGAGGTAGATTTATACCTGAATTTATATTGATTCTGTACTTATAAGGGCTTTATACTTATAAGTAATAAAATGGCTTATGCTTATGCCTCCAATTAGAGAGCAAAACTCTCCAACAATGGGCTGGGGTTTAGCTCTCAGCCCTGCACTAGGGAAAGTCTTCTCCTCTATAGCTGCCTCTGCACCTTCATGCCTCAAACAAAGTTCCCAGCAAAATAAGGACAGCTTCAACCACTGATATTGATGAGAAATAATATAAAATCCAGCAAATATATTCTTTAACAGAATAAATTTGAGAAAATACCAATGGAAGTAAGGTGAGAGTAGGTCAAGACTTACCTACCTATGCATTGTCTCTCTCTCTCTCTAATGGCTTGTATCTCTCTGTGCTCATGCTCCTGGGCTAGTGGGGACCTTTAATAAAACATAAACATTCATTTTCTCTCTCTCTCTGTCTCTCTCTCTCTCTCTGTCTCTGTCTCTCTGTCTCTGTCTCTGTCTCTCTGTCTCTCTGTCTCTCTCTCTCTGTCTCTCTCTCTCTCTCTCTCTCTCTCACACACACACACACACACACACACACACACACACACACCCCTCCCAGCTAGTACATTTAGATGGAGGTCATCTCTCATGGTCTCACAGAAGGGAATTACAGATGTGGCTGACAGGCTGACAACAGCTGCTGCTCCAGTCTCCTGCTTAGCACCGCCACTCCCTTCTTCTTCCTCATTCTCCTAAGAAATCACCATAGTGAAAAACCTCAATCACTCCCACCTCTCCAAAGGTTGATCTCTTGTTAGTTTTCTCTTTTCCCAAACTGGGAAGAAGTACAAATCCCAAAAGGTTTTTGTGGCCAGCCAACCTTTTGCCTAGAGTTGTTATATTGGGAAACACCCCAATCAGGGGTAAAGAATATGCGCTTTATAAAGTAGGTGGAGGTCCGCTTTGCAAAGACAATAATACTGTCTTTCCCTTAGCCTAAGGAGGAGAAGAGATACAGAGTGAGTGTCCCAAAAGTCTTAGTAGGTTTCATGATTTAAGAGCTTACAAAACTATTAAATAGCTATGGCTTTAAACTTTAATATCTCACTTCAAAACTCCACTAAGACTTTTGGAACACTTTGTATAGAGAGCTGCAGCCTCCACCTATCTTCACTGTGACTACAATAGTGCATACCTAGGCCAGAGACAGCAAACTGCATGACACCTGCCACAACAGATTAAAATGCAATGGGGGAAAATTTTAACAGAATAAACAGAAATTCGATAAAGCACAGATAATTTAAATATGTGGTTTTCTAAGTCAATATAAGGCCCACAAAGATCAGTCTCTATTTGAGTTACCATTACTCTAGGCTAAATAAATTGCTTTCATCAATATAGCCCTTCGGTCAACTTTTTTGGGGGAAGAGGGACTGGTGAAAGAGAATTCACAGGAGTTCTACAAGTACAGAAATTCCCTGTTTTGGAGATCAGTAAAGCAAGGCAGATATCCACCTGCCTGGGCTGGATCAAACCCTTGGAACATGAGTTCCATGTCCTCTAGAGATCTATCTCTGACAGGGGATGTGGCTAGGGAAGTTGGTAGATGTGCTCAGGTATATAACACATAGATTGCCAATAATGAAAGAATTAAAAGACAATAAAAATATGCTCATCTTTAAAATTCGACTGAGCATAACCTGACTTGTCAATGATGGACAAGAATTACTGAAATCTAGCACTGTTTTCATTTCATTATGATGGCCATTAATTTCTTTAGCCCCCATCTAGCTACCAACCCACCTGTCTCCTTTTACTGCCAAACTTCTAGAAGAAGTGACTGGACCTAGTTGAACCCAGAAGGGATAAAACCTAGGAGCCATCAATATTTGAAGAATTGTCAGGTAGAGGGCATGTTCTGTGCACTTTCAGAAGGGAAACTAGAACCATCAATTGGGGAAATGTCATACAAAGGCAGAATTCAGCAGAATATAAGGAGGAACTTACGAAGCAGACTGAATACAAATACATGTAGGACATCCAGAACCAAAAAGGTCTCATTGTAATTTCTTGTCAGACTGTATCTGAAAAATTGTGCCCAATTTCAGAAGGGGCATTATGAGTTCAAACATGGCCTTAGTCATGTGCTAGATGGATAATTCTGGGTAACTTAACCTTGGTCTGCCTCACTTTCCTCATCTATAAAATGGGAATAATAAAGTGATAATATAAAATGTGATAATAAAGTGCTACACATATATTAATCCACTATATCCATGTTTGCTAATATTATTAATTAATATTAATGTTATTATATTTGTTGATATTATTGTTGTTATTAGTATTTTTGGCCTGGTCATAAAAAGATTTGTGGAGAAAGGAAATCACGATAGCTGTCTTCAAACTTTTGAAGGCTTGACATGTTGAAGTGGGATTTGATTTGTTCTCTTCCTAAACAACAGAAGTCAAAACAAAAGGAAGAAGTTACAGGAAAGCAGATTTCAACTACACACACATGTATGCATACATGTGTGTATATACACATGTTTATGTACATATCTATATATCCATACACACACATGTGTATGCACATATGTGTGTATATGTCTGTGTGCATGTGTGTGTATGTGTGTGTGTGTGTGTGTGTGTGTGTGTGTGTGTGTATAAACTTTCTAAAATGGCAAGTATTCCCAAAATGTCACAAGCTCTTTTAAAAAGCAATGAGTTCCCTGTCACTGGCTTTCAAGAACAGGGCAGTTTCAGTTTTTAGGGATGTTATAGATAAGATTCATATTTCATGTCAGAATTAAAATAAATCACTTTGGAGGTCCCTTCCAAAGTATAATTTCCAGAAGGGAGAAGATCATTTTGCTTTGCTCTATCTCATTCACACTCCCTTTGTGGTCCCGGTCATTACATTTCTGGCAGGGTTTTGGCAAACTTGAAGACATTCAGAGGAGAGGGGATCAGGAGAGTGAAAAAACTGGGAATATTCCATCTGAGGATTGGTTGAAGGAAAGTTGAAAGGGATGTTTGGTCTGAAGAAAGTATGATGCTAGTGCAGGGAACATGAAAGTTGTCTGCACAAATCTTTACAGAATATTTGAAAGGTTCTTAAACAGAAAAATTAGACTTGTTATTCTTGGCCTCAGAGAGTGACAGATACAAGCTGTAGAGAAGAAAAATTTGACTCAATGTTTTAAAAATAAGCAATTCCTAACAATTAAAATTGTCCCAAAATGGAATGGGCTACCTTGGGATATAAATGGTGTCCCATCAATAAATCAATCAACAATCATTTGTTAAGTACCTACTAAGTGCCAGGCACTAGACTAGGTGACGGGAATACAAAAACTAAGAGTGAAACAATCTCTATTTTCAAGGACCTTACATTCAAATAATCCTGGAGGCCTTCAGGCAGAGGCTGGATAACTAGAAGGGGAAGGTTTCAACCAGAGATTCTCTGAAAAAGATTCCTGGCCAGGGACTCAATGACCTCTGATTTCCAGCTCAATGATTTTGTAATTCTATGGTCTAACAATGGGAGCTACATAAACATGAAATAGATGGACTTGAGAGATAATTATTCTTTATCACTGGAAGTCTTCAAGGAGAGACTAGATGATGGCTAGCCAGGGACATTATTGATGCAATTTTTGTAATAGGAAAGGTTTTGGGCTAGACAACGTTATAAGACCCCTTCTTGACATTGAGCTGCTATGTCCATGATTTTGGTCTGCGTTCATTGTCTTCATTTCCTCACCATCCACCCCACCCCTGAAATTTGGCTTCAGTCTT